GTACATATACATATACATATACATATACATATACATATACATATACGTACATAAAAATCTTTTTTTTTTTATCATTTGTATTCCTTTCTGCCACATGAAGGAAGTAGGGCCTATTATTCCCACATTTATGTTCAACTGCTGCTAGACTGTTTTTATTGACTCCTTCCATTTAGCAATCCCTTAGCTGAGCTATCTTTTAAGTATGTAGGGTCAAAATGAGCGTCCCGAAGTAACTGGAAATGAGGACATRGGAAGGCTTGGGAATCTCTAACCTTCATCCAGCCATACTCCACGAGGCGTGCGAGATTGTGGTTCAGGAATCTAAGCTTGTCTGTCATTCCGCTCACACCAGGAGGAGTCATGGAATCTAATTTTGAAAATAAAGTGGTTTAAGGAACCCATTTATAGCTGTGCTATTATGTGTATTGCAATTCAGGTATCTGCCTCAAAGTGGTTTGATAAAGAGGTTTTTGAAGTGAATTATCACTTTCTTGAGGCTTATAGAGSGGAAGAAGCTTTTCGAGAGCAATTTGATCAAGCTGATGGAGGCATTTGCCTTTTGGGTTTGCATATTTCACTGAACCTTATCCTTAAACCCGCCGAAGTGATCATTTCCTAGATACATCAAGGACTGGCTGTATGCTTGTGGTGGAATAAGGAGGAACGATTTGAGATGCTCGTTGCAGCAGGACAATGCAAAATAATTGTTATTTCACTTGCTTCTCAACATACATCTGTTTAAACTGCACTGTGGCTGGAGATGGTTGCTTGAGCAAAATTCCTACTGACCTCACTAAAATACATGACACTGCAAGGATTCATAACAAGATCTTTTGAGTATTAACAGATGGTCACTGCCTGCCTGAAACAAAATTGTTGGATTTTTGTTGTTTTGTTTTGTTGATCACCGCAGGTATCTGGAAACTGAACAGACTTTGCCGTCTGGAAACCCAACCTGACTGTGAACCATGGGCTTTTCTTTCTTCTTTCTCTCAGTTTTCCTGCTATGAATTCTTTAGAGAAATTATGAAAAGGAAACCCATGTGCGAGGTGCCTCGTTTGCAATCTTTGGTGTTCAGACATCATAGTGTAGAAAGATGCACCCTGGAAGGGTGTCCTTGACGTGGACTAGATGGGCTTGCACCAGCATCTGCCTCCACCAGAAGCCCAGCGATGGTCTCGTCAACCCACTTGTTGGCAGGAATACTGGGCACTGCCAGCAGCACGAGAGGCGTGAAGGGAAGCAGTTTGTTGCTGCCATGGACTAAATGAGTAAAGTCTCTACTGTTTAGAAAATGCTCCCGTTAACAGTTTTTCTTTTGTGTATTTGTCAGTTTATATATTAGTTGCAGTTGTACTTTGCACAAACACTAATTAGACAGCCATCAGCTTGCAGGGCCAAAGGCTTGCKAACAATGCAACTGTGATAGCAGGGTCTTAATTGGTTGAGTATAATTGTCATTAGGCAACGATAAAGACATCTGGGGCTCTGGAGAGAGATCAGCCGCCCCCTCCTCCTCTTTCCCAAATTTGTTCTGGCTACTGCTCTCCAGCACAGTTGAGCTTTTGCAGATGCAATCCTGCATTTTGACCAGTTTCATGATGTTTTTCTCCTTGCAAAATTGTCGGCCTCTTCAGTGCCACTTCATAAGAGCGGTGCCCAGCGCCGGTGGCTTCCTCCTCCTGCATTTGCTCCACTCTTYACCACCTGCTGCCCAGCCACCGTGGGACCTCGACAGCTTTTAACCCCAGCTCCTTCCCCTACAGTCTTCTGCTCCCATTCATGTGCAAGGGCACGAGGAAAGTGTTCATCTCATTCTGACATGACTGCCATAAAAAGAAGTCAAAATGCTTTTGATTAGCGAGCAGGTATTTTTGTTCCTGATATGTTTGTAGGTGCCATATGAATGTATTTTTTTTTCCAGTTCCTCTATATTGTATACTGTCATTCCTCCATTTCAGCAAGGTTTTTATTGCTATCTGTAAGCTCAAGTGTAAATTGCAGAGCAATTTTTACAGGTTTTTACCTATCAGTCCAGAATTACAGAACTGGCTTCTCAAGAAGTAGTATAGTTAGAAAAATGTATCCCATGTCTTTTGTCATTGCTTCCCACTTATATCCACTGAGGCATATATATATTATTTTCCATCTCTTTTTCTTTTCTGGATTTGGAATAAGTTTAAGAATAGGGAAATGCTGTTCTGCTTAGCAGGATTTTAACAGTTGAAGAAGACTCTTATTATCACCAAGATACTCGCAAGTTGGGTCCAAGCTGTGGAGAAATCTTTTTTGAAGTGATCATAAGACCGGAAACTAAAATTCTGCATTACAGTTTTTGCAGATGCTGGTTTTTGTGGAAGCACTTTTAATACGTAACGTGAAAAACAGCTCTTCAATATTTGTGAAATGTGCATCTAAATGCCTCTGTTTTGAGAAAAGTACTTTTCTTTTGGAGAGGGGAGCTGGAATAAGCCAAGCTGTATTTATATTTTATTGAAAATTTTGGGAGTTAACACTGTCTTCCATTACAGTAAGTGTAAATGGCTTCTGCTTAACTGTCGAGAGAGAAGTGAACCGCAAGTTCACCAGGTTCCTCAGGCAGAAGAGCTCTGGTGATGCTCCGGGAGAAGGAAGGCCGGGTCTGGTGCATGGTGAGAGGAGGTTGTCCACCCGAACTGAAAGCTGGATGCTTTGTGGATGGAGTATTTCGGAAAGGTGTCATACAAAAGATATCTAGAGAGGGAAAAACTTAGGTTTGTAAGTTTTCTTCTTGCCTTTTGTATTCAGGAAGGTCACGTTTTTACATCCTTCGAAAATAAGTAAATTGGGCAGGATGTGTAGTATTTTTCCCCCTCAAAACCAGACAGCCAAGCATTTCCAGCTTTATTTTAGAAGGTGTTGGAGCATGTACCTGCCATATCACCGTAGTACATTCAGTAGAAGGGAAAAAAAAAAAAAAGAAAATAGCTTCTCTTGAATGCTGTTAGTATTATAGACAATAGAATCTATTGATGTATCTAGAAAGTTATTTCACTCCAGCAGAAACGTGTGTGATCTTCAGGTAGGCATCTCAATAGAAGAGTCAGTAACTGAAATAGTTTGGCGCTGTGGGCTAGATGATCTCCAGTGCTCCCTTCCAGCCTCAGCCACCCTGTGCCTGCTCCGGGGCCAAAGACTTGAGTCCTTCGGTCAGTAGGTGGTAAACCAATCTGATTTTTCATGGGGACGTGTAAAGTAGAGAATGAGCAGAAATACTGAAATTACCCAGGAGCAGGAACTGTTCAGTGCAGCATATGTTACACTTGAGCCGTATATTGCTATGACAAATTTGCCAATTATCTGAAATAAGCAGCCTTTTTAATTTTTTTTACTGCAAGACGTTAATAGTCCCAAAGCCCTTTGTTGTGGTTACAAATTGGAAGTATGCTGCTCTTTACAACATCATTGAAAGCAGGGAGTCGAACCATGAATATTTTAGGCTGTGAATTGGCTTCATCTGTGTTTTGAAATTCTTCCCGTGCAGCTCTGCTCCGGGCCCAGCGTGCGCTGGAGATGGGTGTCGGTGGCCAACAGAGTAGGATGTCAGCTGGGAAGACGGTTTTTATCTCCCCTTTCCCTGTTGTGATTCCCTACTTAAACCCAGACCTCCACTCAGTTGTGCTTCCCGCACCTCCTTGTAGCAGCTCTGAGGCCCTTTGCTTTGGTTCACGGGCTCCTGGTACCTCTTAACCACGGGTGAGGAAGAGGATGAGCAAGAGAAGGCTGCAGGGCGGTGCTGCCATGCGGAGCTTGCCCGGAACAGGCAGTTCCTGTCCCAGCCCAAGGACGTGAGAATTGCAGTCACATTTATTCAAGCTGGTAGCTGGAAATGTGCTGTGTTGCTGGTGCACTTTGAGTTTAGCAGTATGGATGGTTGAGGTTCTTCCTCCAGAAAAAGAGATCGGTTCAAACTAAAATTTGAGTCAGTTAAATTCTCTTACTAAAGAAATTTGAGCGTTTATTGTGGTACTGTAATGCTGGATCCTGAGTTCTCAATGTTGGTGAGTCCTGCATCTCCAGAACCTGTATTGAGCACCTTCATCTGCTTTGTAAATAACAATTTTCTTAATACAGTTCTGCAGAATTGTGGATTTTTTTTCCTCAAAAACATGGGAGAGCAGATGTCTTTCCGGGCAGACCTTTGATAGTGGGAAGAGTCCTTTCTCTGAAATACGTGTATTTTTGGTGTGTGCTTCAACACAGGTAGCGTAGAGGGAGTTGTGTGTTGCTTGCAGTGTTACCATCTTCATTCCTTATGGTGTATTCATTATTTCCTCAGAAGCTAATTTCTTTTATTTTTTGGTTAGCAGAGTGAAGCAGGAACTGCCTTAATTCTAAGATAATGCTTAATTGTACGAACAAATCAGTTCTCAGAGATGCAGGCAAATCTGAYCCACTGACAAGGCTTGGAGAGGTTTATTCCTACAAGGAGCGGTCAGATGGCTGGTTGTCTGCATGTGAATGCTTGTACCTGTGCACATTAATACTCTGAAGAAGAAGCTACTCTCTGGTTCAGACGCAATTGCAAGTGTTTAAAGACCAAAAAGGAACAAATTAAAATTTTGCTATGCTCTACTTTACACCTTTTACTGATTAACTTCTCCCCTTGTGCCCAGATCTGCTTGCACCCTCTCTGTTAATACTGACCCTTGATGGCCTGTGGTAGCTAGSTCCTGTCATTCTTGTAGCTCTGTTTTACCCGCCTGGCTTATTGGGTCTGATGCTGCGTTCAGTCGGTGGGAATAAAATGATTAAAATGAAAAGAACTGTATACAAAATTATGCAAACAGGACGAGAATCCATCTAGGATGGGTGGTCATCATGAAGGTCTTTTCCAACCATAATGATTCTATGATTCATCATAGTGTTGGGCTTTAAGAACTTGTGATTTCCTGCTCCCTCCCCCAGCAGCAGCCGCTTTGCCTGTGTTTTGGGGGTGATTAACGGGCTCCTTTTGCAGCTATACATCCGGGGCCGTGCGGCTGTGGGACACGCGCGCCTGGGACCACGCGGCACCYCTCCTGCAGGCCGTGCAGGGGCCCGGCGACGCTGGAGCTCCGCCACACGTCTCCTTTGTGCGGATCAACAGCGCCCTGGCTGCAGCCGCCTACGAGGACGGTGAGTAGCCACAGCCCTGCTCCCTGTCTTGTCTCTTTTTGTCTTTTTTTTTTTTTAAAAAGAGGGGGGAGAAAAATGAGAGAAAAAAACAAAAAAGCTTTACAAAAAGGAAGCAGCTGTGCTCAGCTTTTTGTGTGCCGGTAATCCTGTGTACACACACACACTTGCTTTTATGTGAGAAAGTTGGCCAATAACCCTAAATGCATTAGGAGGCATTGGAACACAACACCCATTAAAACTGATGTTTAATTCCTCCTGGAAATGCAAAGCTTGAGTGCCAGGCTGCAGTCCAGCCAAGCTATCTTAAGCAAATAACTTGCTTTGTTGTAAAAATATTAAATTTTTGTCCASCAGCCCTCCCCTCTGCTTGCTCCCCCTTAGGGTGCCCTGAAGCTTTGTTGTGGGAATACAGATAAACCTGCTTGTCTGATTAAACTGTATCCTCTGGTTCCTTGTGCAGTGTGCAGATGCACCTTTCCTTAACTGAAGTATTAATTTAGTGTTGAGTTGTTATATGTGGATTAAAACRAAAGGTTTGGCAAGTCTGTTTTGATGTATCGGGTTTTGGTATAGAGAAATAAAAACTGTGACTGGATACTTAATGAAAATAATAGAATGCTCTTTATACACATCATTTCAAATATATTTAGAGGTGTTTACARGATGGAGAGCAAGAGCCAAACACCACCTGTACAACTGCAGAACATGGGAAYGACAATTGAAAAGGTCAAGATTGGGCAGCGCTAGACAGGCCGGGTCTAGGGAATTGCCCAGGCAGAACTTAACTCCTGTCATCTGACTTTGKCTGTCTTTACATTGTGTGATTTGACACTTAAAAACCTGTCCTTTGCTATGAATCAAGAGTTTTTTAAAGTTCCAGTTTTTAAAGTTCCAGTTCAAAAGTTTTCTAAAGTTCCAGTTCCATTCTTTGGTCCTGGCATTTGCATGTAGAAGCAAAGCCAAAAGATAAAAGAAATAAAATCCCTAATGCGTATACTTACAGTAAATTTAATGTTTTATGTCTAAAAACAAATGTTTAAGATGACCCACGTTCTTAATTGTTTTTCTGGTTTATGCCATCATGCTTTGCTGCTGCTCAAAGTGGTTGATGGCAGGATTTGGTGAGACCAGTGGTTCTGGTATTACTGAATGTCATTAATTTAATATTATTTACTTGAGTCACAGGACATTGTAACACTCAGCGGTAGCCTTAGAGCTGCCTTTTCATCCAGTGTGGCAAACAAGAATAGCAGAGGGTCTTCTACAACTAATCTAATAACCTGTTTGCTTTGGGTTTTGGACTCATTTTTGATGTTGTTTTCTTAATATCTCRTGTCTCTTATTTTTTTGTGTGTTGTGGATAAATGAGTGTGCATAAAGATGGGCAGCCTTATCCTTTTAGGTAGGAATTGTACTTGGCTGTGTCCTGAAGTTGCTCTTTTAGAGTCTTCATCAAAATTGATTGTTTTCTGCAGCAATAGAGAATTGCAAAAGTTGTCAATACCAATGCTCACCTCTCAAAGCACCCGTTTACAGCTGGGTGGAGAGAAGGATTTTAAGCTTAGTGCCGGGGGGAAGGCTCTGCAGAGAAGACGTTTCACTGTGTGCCCTCGTGCAGCTCCCTTCCCTCTTTGTTGCACGTTCCGCAGCAGCGTGGCCCCATCTGCGCGTGTTGGAGGCGGGATGGGACGTCACCGCCGCGGCCCGGCGCGCTCGGAGCCGCGATGCCCCTGGCAGCCCCGGCAGGACAGAGCTCCCTGCCCGCCGCAGGCTGCCGTTCCCTGCCCGCCATGCGTTGCCGTCCCCTGCCTGCCGCACACTGCTGTCCCCTGCCCGTCCCCTGCCCGCCGCGCGCCGCTGCTCCCTGCCCTGACAGTAGGAAACGGCCGCCCGAGGCGCAGGGAGCGCAGAGGGGAAAGGCTGCACTGCGCCACTGGTGTCGGAAGTGAATTGCAGCTCCACGACGGCAGCAAGGGAGGAACAGAGTTGTGGCTTCCGCTGAGCGTTCCCGACAGTGTCGAGCCTCTTGGAAGCGAGCTGCAGGGAGAGGTAAACAAGAGGGAAGCAAGCAGGGAGCGAGCAGAGCCTTTCTGCCCGTGCCAGTGCTCAGCAGGGGCGCTGCGTGCACACCTGGGGCACCGCGACTTGGCAGCGCGAGCCACAGTTGTGATTTTGGAATTCCAGCCCACTGGCCTCATATTTCTTCTGCCTTGTTTCCCATTGTCAGCACGGGCAGGCGGCCAGTTTGATTTTACCACTAATTGTGTTGCACGTTACCGAACTGAAATGAATCAAATCAAAATGCTTTTCCTGGAGCATTAGCGGCAGCGCGCGAGGGTTGTGGGTAATGAGCAGATGCTGCTAATGCAGGGACAGGAGCGGCCGTGCCAGGGCTCCATCTGCTCCGCGCTCGCCTGCCGCTGGCCGCCGGCCACAGCTTCGGGGAGCAGCGGTCTCCTGCAGCCGTCAGCTTCCGCCCCTGCCCTCCGCAGCCTTTCCATGTGAATGCGCTGCGGTGCAACACCAGAACCTGCTTCTTGGGGGTTATTTTTTAAGTGCTGTGCGCCACTCGTGTGTGTGTGAAGGGGATGTGGTGCTGTCCCAACCACGGTGGTGCTTCGGTTTGTGAAGAGTTTGAGGTTTGGGAAGAGTCCACGGTACTTCACAAGCTGCAAAGCAGCTCCTTGGAGCAGAGGGACTCGGCTCCTGCGGCGCCGGGAGGTGCTCTTGCTTCTTGGCAGCCACCACGAAGGGGTTTTGGCACTGCTCCTCACTGCAGTAGAGAATTGCAGTCTGGTCCGCTGTGCTCTTAAAGCTGCTGACAGTTGTTGTCCGTAGCCCATTTGCAATGGTCAAAATCAGAGGGATGTATTTGGAGCATTCTTCTAAGTGCCAGAACATGCTGCAAAGTAGAGCAGGAAGCAGAGGCTGCCTTGAATAAAGGAATGAGTCTTTGCAGAAAATTATCCACCATGCAGCACTCTGTTTATTCCTACTAGATTCCTGCTAGATACTACTCCTACTAGCACATTATACTTTAGCTGCTGTCTTGTCTATATGGATGGCTGTGGATGCAAACTCCTCCCTGTTTCACCAAATAGTGTGTGCCTTCACATCAAGATCTAGGAAGTCTTGCTCTCATGTCATGCAGTTGGGAATGAAGTATAAGCCTTGTCATCTGGAGGGAAAAAAGTACATATAGAATTTATTTATTTATGGCTTAAAACAGGTCAGGGATGTGATCTTCAGACAGCAGTGTTGTGCAGACAACGTGAACTAGCAGATTCTGACCTTCGTGCTGTTGCTTACGAGCTGCAGTGAACGAACCCAAGAACCATGAGCACGTCCAGATTTCCTACTCCAGCCTATATACAACTCTGTATTTGTGCCTTTTGCTTTTCCGTGCGTGTATCTTTTTCCTTTTTGCCCAGCTATGCACCGTGGGCAGGGCGAGCTGCTGCCCTCGGCGCTGCTGTTCTGTGGGATGGGCCGCGAGGCTCCCGCGCCGCAACGCGGCCCTCGCTCCGCCTGCGTGCCGGGCGGCTGCTGCCGGCCGCGCGCCGCTCTCCTCCCCTGTGGTTACGAGCTGGGACGTCTCGCTGTGATTTCGAGAGATGCGATGTTGCCTTCTTATTTGTCTCTGCTTGTCCAACCTTCCCATATTGTGGGATGAGAGCATTTTAGATGAATAGAGGCACTTGGTTTCATGGCAGGAGCGTCACATCTTGAACCAGAGAGAGACTTCTGTGAAACAAGATGTAAGAGAGCTGCTTTGCAGCRTGTCCTCTGTGCTTCCAGCTGTAAGGAAGGAACATATGAGACTGTTAGCACTCAGCAGCTTCCAGTCGTTCACCTTTGCTATGGAAAGTGCATATGAAATACCCCATTGATGCTTTCTAAAACTGGGCTGTCGGGTTCGCAGGCACTGGTAAGGCACAATAGACTTGCATTTAAGCATTTAAACCAAAAACCTTAATCATTTTCTTGCACTTAAGTTGTTTTCTTGAGCTGAGTTGAAATACAGGCAAACGCTAAAGTCTGTATCAGCTGGAAGAGTTGCTGTTAGTATTCAGTGCAGTAATAGATTAAGAGCGCAGATTTTAGCATTATTCGGTGTATAATCTGCCCAATATTTCCTCCCTTCCTCTCCCCCCACCACAAAAAATACTGTATGCCTGCAACCTCAGCTTCACCTTAGCAGAGATTTTCTTTTGTTGAGAATGAAGTATTAGCCACTGCTGGATGCAGAAAGATGTCAGTGATCTCATCTGCACTGGTAAATCTTACGCCTATTTTTTTTTTTATGTCGCCACACCAGTGACTTTAACTGTAAGGGTGGCCTTTACTCCTGCTCTTGAACATGATTGACTAGGGCAAAGGCTTGCACACTCGTAAATGCCTTGCACTGTATCTGGAGTGAAGCCCTCTTGCTCTTTGCTTTCCTTTTCAATTCTCCTTTCCACTCCTTGTGTCATGCTCCCTCGTTAAACAGGCTCTGACTTATGACTGTGCAAGCCATTTGTTCTTGGATATTATCTGGGATGTTTTGCATCACCTTATGCATTGGGTGTTGCACATGCTGTGGTTGCCTAATGTTAATTTTAGATGCCTTGAATGGATGGACTTTGTTGAATGTTTGGTAAAAAGGCATGTACCTGCTCTGAGCAGAGCGCAGTACTGAATAATAAGTTTTTTTTTTTCCCCTAGATTTGGAGAGCAAACTGAATTCCATTTTTTTCAGTTTGTTTGGCCAGAACAGGCTTGTGAGWCTTGGACCTTTTTTAATTTTGGATATTCTGCAAAACTTAAATACACTCAGTAATACAAGTCAAGTGAAATGCTCATTGCAAAGCAGCACTGGGAGCAAGTCAGCATCCCTTCTTCCTTGGCAAAAGTGAAAATGCCCCCCCAAAAATGAGGGTGCGAGTGGGGCCCTACCCAGGGGAGCCTAGCAGTGCTCTTCGCTGTCTGCTGAAAAATGTGGCTGTAACCTCCCCCAGTTCAGCTGGAGAGGTCAGAGCTGCTGCTGGACAGGCCGCGTGAGGTCAGAGCTGCTGCTGGACAGGCCGCGTGAGGTCAGAGCTGCTGCTGGACAGGCCGCGTGAGGCCGGGCCTTGCGCTTCCCTCGGCCCGTGGCGGAAGCCGCTGCCGACGCTCCGCGCTGGGCAGGTTCCTCTTGGAGGAAATCGCAGCCCGTGTACATTTGTTAACTTGGTTTAAGTGAGACTGTGCAGTGGGGCTACCGTTGTGTTTCTGAAACCAGTTTAGCCGTTATTTACCTTTCAAGCAATTAACGTAATTACCATTATGCTAAGCAGTAATTTTGGGAAGTTCTGCTCTGAGCCCTTAYGACTCCGTCGGGACAGTTTTAGTCGGGGCTTATCTTTTTGATGGAAGCCTAATTGCAGTTTTGGCTTTGTGTAAACAAACAGAGGCAGCTAATTGTTTAGGCAAATAGCAGATTAATTTAAATATGCATCCCTAATAAAACAAAAATGGTCCCCATTATGGGGCTCATTCCCATGGCGAGGAATATAAATATRCAGTGGGAGTGCCATTAGACAGGGATCTTAAGGATTATCTGCATTATTTCACATGGGTAGCACYTTCCAGACACGAAATAATCTTTACAAAAGCAAGCATAAATCAATTTAAACTCATTTAGATACCATTTTGCTACGTGCAGTTTCATTACCACACTCTTGCCTTGCCTCCTTTGGGACACGGGAGGAGTGTTTGCAAACTGGCATTGGTGCCCGTCCACAGCTGCCTGTCAGGGCTTTTATGTCTCCTTTTGAAGGAAGAGCTCCCATTAATCATTTCATCATTAATGCTCGTGCTAAAGTAGAGGAGGCTTCTGCAGCTCCGGCCTGTCAGGCTTGAAGATTGCTTCTCTGTTAATCCAGTGCAGAGGTGGCCCCCAAGTCTCCRGTGCTGTCTGGCCCGTCTGTTCTGCCATACGCTCCTGATTGCTCTCTGTTACTCATATTTAAATCTTCAGCTTAATGCTTTTAAATAGATTGCTGGTGATCTACACTGGAAAAAAATGCTTTCTGAAAGCACTGAATTCTTATGCATTTTCTGTTTTCCACAGCATGAGGGTTAGAGGTTTTGGTGCTGGTTGCAGACTGGGTGTTGAGAATGGCCTTGRAGTCCCTGCCATGGTTGCTCTGTTTGCAGAGCTTTAGATTCTTCACTCTGTAAAACTTCTGTGTGTGAAGCAGAATTACTTAGGTTTAAATGTGGATTCTTTCTTTCTCTCTTGCATGCTCTTTGTTTTTTTTCTTTTCCTCTGGTGCTAATTGAGGGCAAGAATATAATCGAACCAGAACTTCAGTATCCATTTGAAGTCTGATCTTCCCCCGATGCAGAGAAGCGGCAGAGGTCAGGCAGCCTTCCYCAAGGCAGATACCAGTGTTATCTAACAGTCAACAGGAAGAACAGCAATAGAGCCCCTAATGCCAGAATACAAGATGTGCCTTGGGTTGCCCTGACCCGATGCTCTTCTGCTGTGTGTGGTCCCAGCGTTCTAATTTCCTGCCCAGGACTCATACTCTTTKTATGCACTCTTTTCATCAGAATATTTCTAAGCTTCTCTTTTCAAACCATCTTGAAGATGTTTGGTAAGTTATTGGATAGTTAAGAACTGTTTGCTTTATGCCTTGGTGCACAGGGACCGTGAGCGTCTGGAGCCTGATGGTAGGACGGGAGCCCATCCATCATTACCAGCACAACCAGAGGATCCAGGCGCTGGCGCTCGGTTCCGAGGGCGYCCTGGTGGCAACGGCATCTGGCTTCGAGGTCAAAGTGGAAAGCCCTGACGACAGAGGATTCTGGCAAACTACAGAAACGTTTGAAATCCAGAAATTGGTGAGTCTCCAGGCTACACAACTTTATTCCATGTGCTCCTCCCTCCAGAAGCTTCTGATCTGCWAATGATTTTGAGGATGGTTGAGGGGGATCTTACAAAAATCTTACAAGTGTGTTGCATGAACTAGAAAGCAGCGTTATCAGCTAGAGGCTGTGATTTAGTAGCAGGTTAATGGATGAGGATTTTGTTGCTGAAGAGCAAGGGTAAAATGCTGGCTTACGCTCCAAGTGAAAATGAATAGGTCCATATGGTGCAGGAGCTTGGCTGTTTCTAATTATTATTTTTTTTGTCAACATTAAACTAAGTTGGCTCATTTTGTAAATCAGTATTCTCGCGCAGAATTGGAGCTAACACGGAAGGTCTCATTCCAGATCAGTGCTATCTGATTAATTCTGAGGCAGGATATTGCAGAGGAGCTAATAGGATCACTTGTGAAGCTGTAYGTGATTGTGCAGCTTCTGTAGGTTGCACCTTCTGTCACTGAGGTTTGGAGACGCGTGCTCCCCCATCGCAAGACACGGACTTGTGTAGTTAGTGGGTGAGAAGTTGCGATCTAAACCATTCCCGATGCATCCCCTCTTGGAAAGCTAACTCAGTTTTACAATAGATAAAAACAATGATCTGAGTTATCCCTTTAAGGATGCTGTATTCACGCTCTAACCACAGTATTTGCCCTGCGTGCGTTAGCCTTATGGTGGCCTCTTGCTTGTCCCTTGTTAATTTTTCTGTCCTTAAATTCTTCTGTAAAAAGTGTCCATTCCATCTTTATTCCTCAATGTGACATTTTGGAGTGGTCTGTTGTAATTTCTTCTGTTTTTTATTTTTTTTACTACCTCGTTCTATAGAAGGAAAGCTGAACAGGAGCTGAACTCCTAGATATGCAGAGCTAAAGTTGATATTCCATCTTTGTGTAAATTTAGTTTTTAAGGGTGATGCCTTAAGATAACTGATAGCCTGCTAATGTGTTCAGTTTAGCATGTGATGCTATAATGGAATTTTTGGCTGTAATAACCATGAAAAGTCTGCTCTTTTAGGTCAACTTCCTTAATCTGGTTCCAGATGTTACGGRGCGCGCGGTGGCAGTAGCGGCAGCGGAGGACGTGGTTTATCTGCTGAAATCCCAAGATCCTGGCAAAGTTCTCCATTCCGTTTATGGTCAACCCATCACGTGTCTCGATGTGTCTGCTAGCCAAGCAGCCTTTGGGGTCAGAAGCTTTAGCTGGTTATTGAATGAACCCAACCAGGTATTTCATTTTGATTTATTTCTGAGATTTATATACCTTAACCAATGAGTAYTAACCAATGAAGAAAACTTCATGCTAGTGACTATTTTCTTCCTGTTCTTCTCCCCTTTTCATTTTTTTTTTCTTTCGACAGTAGAGTGAATATTTCTTTATAATGAAATAACCTGGTGTTTTTATCAATTTTATTCCAGTGAACTGGAGTGAGGACTTGTTTGTCGAACTGGGTTCCTAGTAGATGCAGAGCATTTTCTGCTCCTCAGTGGGGCCCAGCTGATTCAACTCCGTGCTACAGTAGTGGTGAAGAGAGAATTTGTCTCAGCATCCCCCAGAATGTTGGGACTGTTATATTAAAGGAAGCTAAATTGTGGCCGTGGGTTTGATGCCCTCTGTAAGGCCCTGCTACTTTTTTTGGCATTTCTCAGCGCAGTAAATCACATGCAGGAGGTTTTTTTTTGCATTGCTGTTGCAGACTCGTGGCTGAGGTTTGCTTCTAGCGCAGCTTTTCTGGATGCAGGAGGTGCTTTCTGGAGCTCGCAGTCCCAATTAGCAACATAAATAATGGAATTTCTTTGGGGTTTAGAATCCTGTCTGCATCTTGACACTGTCTAGGGATTATTACTGCAAAGCTCTTGAAATGCTGAGCTCTTCTGATTCTCTCGAGTCTGGAGTATAGCACTGCAGTGAAACCAAGGGCTGGGAATAAGCATAGAATGGGGGATTAGTCTRCATTAACTATGTTTATTGCCTAATTTCAATATTCTTTGGTCAGTAAATAATCACTATCTCCTCTGTTTGGGGGGTTGGTTTTTGTATGGTTTTGTTTTCACATTCTGTTTCCAAGAGTTTGCAAACTCAATGGTTTTTGTGCGAGAGCCGTTGTTTGGATCTGTGACACTGCAGTCACGGAATTGAATCTCTGCAAGGAAATTTTCTGCGGAGTTTCTGGGATCGGCAGGGACAGGGCTGCAGAGCCCCCAGCACGGAGCGGGAGCAGCAGCGGGGAACGAGCCGGTGCAAGGAGCTGCTTCCGCAGCCTAAAAACACTGCATTTCCTCTGGCACCAGGAAAGCTTCAGTTAGCGCTAACCCTAGGTAGGAATAAATCTGAGCCCTGTGGTAGGAATAAATCTGTCCAGCTGCATCTAATTTCCCCATAAAATCCATGTTCATTAGGGAAATGCCGAGGCCACCGTAAATACCTCTTGGGGTGAGAGATGCTGGGCGGCCACGCTGGTTTTATTAATTCCTTTGCTGCCCTAATCCAATTCTTTTCCCCACAGAGGTGGCAGGTTAGAAGGTAAAATTGCTGCACTCGGGAGCATTGCTTTTTGTACCTCGTAAAGGGCAGAGAAATCTGCTCAGAGCCCGCGCGTTGCTCCGTGAAGCCGGATGTGTTTCCCAATTTTCTTCCAAATTATTTGGCATTTGCGCTGAGTCTTGCGTCACTTGCCTGGCGTTGCCGCAGCGGCTGACATCACGAGGGAAACGCAGCACTAATTTCTGTGAATCACTAATTTCTGTGATGCTAATGAACCTCGTGCAGACGTGAAGGGACTCCGTGCTGGGTGATTACATGGGGCACAGGTTGACAAGCTGCCTTTAGGAGAGCTTGGGAGCTCGGAAACACTCGCGTAAAAGCTGGGCTGCTTCTGGCTCAAGGGTTTTGGTATTTTCTTCCCTACCTCTGCTGTGGGATTTATTTATTTATTTTGAGCCTCGGTTTGCACCTGTAATGCTACTGAGTTAATCATTTCTTATTTTTATCCAAATTTGACAGCTGCATRGAGATTTGATACATCTATTCCGTAGGGATTTCAATGTCAGTGTGATGAAAAGAAGAGAAAAACCATCAAATGCTTGGCATAGACTTGCTTCTTGTGAGATGACAGGCAGGAATGCAGAGAGGATATAAATGCCTCAGCTGTGGAGAGAAGTTCAACTTTCACTGCATTGAGCATCAGACAGCCCAAGTACGAGATGCACTTTCTTGAAAGTTAATCCTGTTATTTTTGGTGGTCCTGAAACATTGTTTTCTGTTAAGCTAACAGGAATTTCTTAAGTAGGGGTTACTTCAGCAGGATTAACTTGGTGTGGAATATACTGTTTCCATTAAAACCCATAGTCTTGTAATACCCAGGCCTTATTCCCACTTTGGTTCACACGCAGGCAGTAGTTCGGAGCAGATAACGAACCGCAGGCTCCGTGCGGGGTGGAGGGCAGTCTCTGCAGCAGCATCACGGACAGCAGTGTTCACCCGCTTGAATGCTGTCTGAGCAACGTATGTGAAATTATTTTCTGATGCAACTCTAGAGGCGGCCACAGATTTAAACGAGACCTGGCTGTGGTCCTCATTATGTCAGGAGATAAACTTCTTAACATGTTCAACATTGATTGATGWTAGAAGCTAATCAGCAGGAGGGGATTTGGGGGTTTTTTCACCAAAGCAACTTCTCATTGTAGTCATACAAAATAATTTAAGTTCAGGTAGCTTTGAAATACTCTTGTTGTGGTGCATGCAGGATCTGTGGATGCAAGATTATAAGGCACGATTCGTCACGTGTCTTTATCTTGGGTTCCTTTATGCACAAACTRGGGCGTTATTTCAGAAGAGGRGCATGAGGAAGAAAGGAGGAGAAYGCTAATGATTTTAGATACTCCATCCTAGAAACAACAGAGAAATAGAAACAGAAAGGATGGATGTGTTGAGATCAGATGTCTCGGGAATTACTTGTTCCGCTGTTTCTCTTTCGTCTGCTTTGAGCTGATGGTTGGTCTGTACCAGCTCAGTGAGACTCGMCGTACGTGTCTCCTCTCATCAGTGCCTCAAATGCTGCCTGGGATTTTTGCGACTGTCTTCATTGTTTCCACAGAGTTCTTTGGCTCGTTACAATTATGAGCGGGTCCGGTAGAATTAGCCACTTGAAAAGCATGCTGTGAACTGGTGCTCATTAGAAAAATATAAATGTATACATGTAAAAGTATTTGTTTAGATTGAATCTGATACTTGACATCTCTGGGTGATGTTATAGGTTGCAGGTGTAGTATATCAGCCCTTGCAGCTTTCTGGCACCTTATTTTAACCAAAATCCGTTCCTTTCCCTACTGATCAGCTTGTACTGTGTCTTCTGGTGTCATGTCCCAGTTGCTATGGAATTCTGAAGGCCTGAAGTTTTTTGTCTTATTTTTTTTATTTAAAAATATGCTTGTCAGCTTTCTTAACTACCCTGAACCTTGTAAATGTTCTAATTTTCAGTGGCTACGTGCCAGTGATGAATAATTTGGTCTTCATGAACTGTTTTCATAGCACTAGAAAGACAYGTCTTGCTGGTGACTGATGGAAATATGCGGGATTTGCCCAAGCGTTTCCGTTCTCGGAGCTGTAGCGCGTTAGCAGAGCTTTGAAGGCGTTTTACATACATTTTCTTTTCAAAGTATAGGAGAAAAAGAGCTCTTAACGTGGATCTGAATTGTGTAATTTTTATAAGCCAGGTAATGCTATACATATATMTATATATRTGTGTGTGTGTGTATATATATATAAATATATGTATATATTTTTTTTCCAGAAAGATTTGGAGTTTTCCTTGCCTCGTCTTTGTACAGCATAACAATTAACCTCAATCTTACTGAAGAATAACAATGTGCTGCCTTGCTTTGTCCATGTTTGCAATTTCCTCCAAATCTTTTTTTTTTTTTTTTTGCAAGTTAAAAAACAAAGAAGCCCTTATGCATTGGCTAATTCTATTGACATCTGCATTTTTTCTGTTTGTGCATTGATGTGCACAGTCCAGAATTGGCACCGCTGCTGAGGTAAGGATCTCAGGTTCTGGAAATGTAGCCGATGGGACGTGCCAGGAATATTCAAGGCGGTTATCTGGGAAACTAGAGAATTCATTCTTGTTTTAACAACCAGCTTGCCACCTTTTTGCCCACGCTATCCTGAGCTGAGAGGGAGAGCGTGTTTTGGGGCTGGGGCTTGTTCTTGCGTTACCAGCCTCGCACAATGACTTATATCTGGCAAGAACTTGCAAAATAGTCTCCCTGGCCGATTGTCAAAAATTACATCATATTGGAGTAAACTGCTTTTAAATCAAACATCCATTATTCATGTATATTAACTGCTTTTTTATTTTTTTATTTTTCACAGGCTGTTTTGTGTGTGATTTACTCTTTTTTTTTCCCTTTCTCTCTGATTGTGTCTCATCTCCCGCGCCTGCTCCTTTTAAATCTTAGCTCATCCTTAAATTKATGGAGCCAGAACACTTATCCCTGTGTGCACGTATCAATATGCCAACCTTGCATTTGTTAATATTCATTTTTTTTTTTTATTTTAGGGTTTTTTTTCCAGCATTATATGCAATATTTACAGTAGGCAATTCAATGCATTTGCACTGGGAAACTGTGCCCCTGAGGCTTGTAAACTTTCCAAATACTTTTTTCCACATCCCTTTAGAAACAAAATTCAAACTTGCAGCAGCACGCGCCATATGTTGTACTTAATTTGATGACTTCTGCTGGAAGTRCATGTGAAATGGCCTTATTGTTTTTGTAGATGCCGTGGGCATTGCGTGGTTTTGAGCCCACCTCCCTCTCTGTTTGCGGGGAGCTTCTCTTTCTGACCCTTCTCTCCCGGGCAGTCTCACTGTGTATTCAGGCAGGCTTTTCGCCACTTGGCAGAGGGATGGGCAGGAGGAAGGGGGAGCAGCGTAATCTGAAAATAAAATGCAGACTCCGCTCCGGTCTTGCTGCTTGTTCCTCTGCGTCTTTGGCCGAGTGAGATATTTTTCTGTCTTGATCCTCTGCTTCCCTATCTGTGAAATGATGCCCCCATCCAAGCTGATTCTTTCTGGGAAGGCAGTTTTTGAAGGAGGTGTCCTGTCTTGTTATTCAGTAAGGAGGAGGATGAGGTTTTGAAGCATGGTTTAACTTATTTATTTTTTTTTTTTTGCTAAAACTTATGTTAAACTGTGTTTAATACTTCATCTAAATAAGAGTTACACGTGCTGTGTATGACAACTGCTTCACCCAATTCAGAAAGACCATGTTTTCTTTTACTAGCTGTGAGCTGTAGTAASTTAAGAAGCCAAAATGCATTTGCAGAGGGAAATCAGCTTTTTCACCAAGCAGTTGTCTCTGCTGGCTTATGGCCAGGACGGTGGGTTGAATGGCCTGCTCTTGCAGAAAGTACCCCCGGCTCTTTGATAACAAGTGCTTGGGGATTTGTTGTTTTAATGTTCCATCCAAAAAGGACATCTCCGACAACACAGTCTCCCTGAACACCTGCTGGGGCTTTGGATGTGCATGGAAGCGTTCCATCAACAGCATTTCCTTCAGTTCCTCTGCCTTCCTTGGAAGGATCTCAACCGAGGTGCGTGGACTACGCTTGACCTCGCTTAGCTGCAAGGTGCGATGAAGCTCATGGCTTAGCTCCTCTGGCTACAGAAACTTCATTCTTTATCCGTTCATTTGGACCTCTTGTGGTCTGGGATAGCATTTTAGCAGCACTCCTGGTTCCCACTGATGTGCAGCTTCCCAAAGTACAGTGAGTTTTCCTTTCTTCCTCTCCCTATTCCAGGGCGGGTGCCAGGCTGGTTCCAGCACATCTGTCTGAGGAGGGTGGCCACCGTTCGAGGATTGCCCAAGTCGTGCAGTAAAGTAGGAAATTAGTCTAATGCACTGCCTTAACAAAAGGGAGAGTACGAGCTTGAATAATTAATATTGCTAGTCTGTGGCAATCGGATAAAATGAAGTCCCATTTGCTCAGCCTTATTAAAAGAGAGAGAGAGGGAGGGAGGGCTGGTAAAAGTCGTTAAGGGACTTGTAACATGGAAGGAATCGCCTCTGAGATGGATAATGTGTTTTCTAATCTCTGCGGTCTTTAACTAAACATAATGGTAAAGGTACTCTGGCTATTTCTGGCGTGTTGAATTATTAAGCATTCGGGGAGATTGCTTGGCTCCTCTCCAATAACGTAGACTTTTTCATTTGAACAGTGTTAATAGGTAACACTTTTTATTTGGCGCGGCTGATCCCGATACATCTGCCCAGAGCATTTAATGCTTTTCCTCCGTGGCGCCCCCGGTTTTCCCCGGGGAAAGGGATGCTCATTAGTGCGTTGTCCCAGGGTGCTTCATTTCACACCCAAGTGCTCTTGGTTCACTTACCTTCCGTTCGGCACCTATTAGGTCACTGGTCTTGGGCGTCCATTATAGGATTATAAATGTCTTTAAAAGGGTAATCCCTTTGCAGGGTGCATTATAGGATTATAAACCTCCTAAAGATCTTATGCTTTATCTGCCCTTTAACATACAGACCCGTCTTTCAAGTCCCTCCTGACCAGGTATTTTCATTCTTTCTACTTGGCCTTTATAAAGAAAAACCTTGTTACCATGGGGTATTCAAAGCTTCAAAGTTGTCATCAGTGTGGTGTTAAAGAACCTATCTTCAAGAAATTGTAATTCAGACCTAAAAATGCAGCCTGCCGGAGTTTCTTTTGTTTCTTTACTTACCAGCTTGTCAGGATGAGGGTTTGAGATTCACTTTCAGACCATAAAATTGCTCAAGATAGAAGCCAAATTCAAAGGTAGGTAAAACCTGAGTGCTAGAAAGTGCAAAGAGCAGCTTCCTCCGAGGCGGTGGGTCTGACTGGCTGGAAATACACAGCAGCATCATAAAAAGCTACAGCAAAYAAACAAAAACCTTGGAAGATTAGAGACTCATGTTGGAAGAGAAGGAAGTTGAGAGGGTAAAAGAGTGATAAGATGAAAAAAAAGCTTTTCTTTGAGTTTTGTGGACCTGAGCCTGTATTTTTTATAGTACCTGTCTTATGTTTATAGGATAGGCTGGAGCTTTGGTCATTTGGGTAAATTAATAGTTTATGGATGCTCATTGTAAGTATTAGCCCYAGGGGCCTCTCCCAAGGCAGCGTTGAGGCCTGCCTCTTCTCCAGAGTTTCATTGCCCAGCTGGGAAGGGCTGGCCGAGGAGCTTCCCTTGAGGGTTGGCCCCTGTTGATGTTGACCCGGCTGATCTGTCTTTCGTGAGTGGAATTCAGCAGAATTCAGTGACATTGTCTTTGCTCGAAGCTTTCAACAGAGAGATCTGGTTGATCTTTGCCTAAAGATCACGGGTGGTGGAAGCTGTGCTATATTTCACCGAATTAGTCTTTATAGCAAAAAAAAAAATGAGTCTATTTGCAGGTGTTTTTCATAGGTATTGAAGCTCGGATTTTTATTTCTTTTACACAATTTTTATGTCCTGTGTCTATAAAGGTAGAGTCTCTCTTGCTTTACAGAGCTTGGGAAAAGCTGCTTTGGTCTTAGGGATGAAAAAACATGCTCTAAAAACTGGTACTTGAGCCCTGCRGCTTGAAGAGCAGTAAAATGCAAGGCAGCACATGTACCTTCAGACTGGGAAAGGGAGCTGGCTGGGCAGGGGGTTAAATATTATAAGCAACTGAGGAAATAAGCTGTGAATGTGTTAACTGTAGTCAGGTAGTGGGTAAAATGCCTGAATAAAACTGTACCGTCTTTTTAGCTGGGTGAAATAGCAGGTGGAGGAAACCTACGGAGGCTCTGCACTTCTGTGCAGTATTTCCAGAGATTTTTTTAAGGATTAAAGGTTTAAGCTTTGTTGCCTAGAGGCACCCATCACCAAATCATCTGCTCCTGCTCTCCTAATTCAGCCTTTCCAGCGCTGATTAAAACTGCACAGCTAGAAAGTAAAAGGCCAGGCAGCATCGCTGCTCAAGGGAGAAGGTGATGAACAGAAGGGAAATAACTTGCATTTTTCTTCTAGTATTTAGCGTCATGATCTTCAATGTTACTTAAAACCAGAGTGGTTTTTATGCCTTTTCYTGCCAAGAGGGGCCATTTCAGAGGTGATGTGTCTCTTGGTGTGTTGTGTGATCGCCTGTGCAGACCCTTTTCGCGTGCCCTGGCAGCACCGAGTCAGGGCTCGCTTCTACGCTCTTCTCTTTCTGCTGTGTTTTATCAAATCCTTCTTGCACTGCCCATGTGTTGATTCTGCCAAATGTTCCAACCTTCCAAATGTTGATTCTGTTTACTTTTACTATTATTTCAAATGTTAAGCTTAATAAAGAAGTGCTTYGCTTTCCCCTGTAAACCTGAGATGTTCTTGATGGATTCCCATGTACCATTGCATTTTTCATATTTCTGAGCTTGTGTTACTGCCATTTCCATGGGGTCATCTTGGTTCCAGGCTAGAATATTGAGAAACACGGTCTGCACCCGTCCCAGTAGCGACAAGAGCTTGGCTCCGCTTCATGCTGCAGCGGTACGTAGATATTGTGCCTGTACTAAATTTACCTGGTGTTTGTTCTCTTTCTGCCAGATTCTTCTTTACAATCTGGAAACAAGTCAGTGTCTAAAGAAGCTGGGCAACTCATTGGGTGACTTTTCGTGCGTCAACCTCCAGGACAGCCCTCCAAACATGCTCGTTACCGGCAATAAGGACAGAAGGTGGGTACCATCAAGAGCAGCAACCCATCCCAAATTAGCTTACTTCCTGTCCTGCTGTCCTACACCTGGTCCTGCTAGAATTTGTTTCTCCTCTAATGTTTCAAACACAGCCTGCATGAACTTCAGGAACAAATATTAGGTAATAGTTGGATGTGGCTGCCGGTTCGCTTTGTTTCGGAGAGCTCCATGGGAAGACTTTCTTTTCAAGCCATTTGGTGGACACAGTTGGTGTACAGCCCAGCGAGACCACTTGGAATATCTTCCACTTCCCCACCACCACCCGCAAAATTAGTTTGGCATTTAAAAGCTCACTTTCTGATATTAAAAAAATAACCTAAGGGATGAATCATGTAGGATGAGAGGGGTCCGTCTGCCAAACGATGTCAAGAGTGTATTTCGGAACACTGTCATGTCCCTCAGGTGACAGAAAAAAAAAGAGACTTTTCATATGAACAGATTCCAGCTTCTATTTAGCTGATTAGCAGCTTTCTCTTTAGCTCCTTGGCTTGGGGAGCAGGATTTTCCCTGCGCAATGTCTGGTGCCAGGAATGGACGCGCTGGGAACAGGCAGTGCGAAAGGATTAAAGTGCTTAAAAAGACCCTTTGAGTCCAATTTTTAGGTTTTCTCTTTTTGGCTAGTGACTTGCRGGGTCTGATCCAGTGCACCAAAGGAGATGTGGGCTGGCGAGGAGCCAGTCCCTAATGGCTCCCGGTTCCTTCTCCCTCCTCCCTGCATCGGGCATGGGCTGCAGGTGGTGCTCTGGTGTGGTGGTGGGTATCAGCTTGTAAGGCGGATACCTTCGCTTGCCAAGTCCCAGGCCTCTGTCCCGCCAGTGCAGCAGCTTGCAAAAATGATTATTTTGTCAAACAGCTTTTTTTCCTTCTCAGCGGATGGGCGCTGCAAGCAGCCCTCACGCTTTCCTCAGCAACCAAGGTAAAGCAAGTAAAATGGAAATATCAATTGCATGAACTCATGCAGCTGAATCCTTGGGAGGTTTTTCCTGATAGATTTTCTGAAACACCCCAGTTAAACTGCATCGCCCCATGATGGAAGAGCAGATAGAGTTGATATCCCTTAAGTGAGATTGAAATTTGCTCTCGTTTTCCTAGAATAAATGTCTGTGCCCTTTCCCCTCAGTTTTCCAGTGCAAGAATTGATGGGTTCAAGGGTTGACTCTCATTAAAATAAGAGACAGTTGGGAATCAATAGTTCAGCAGATAAGGAGGGAATCTAGGAGACAAGACCCCGTGTAGCTCAAAGGCCAGGTCCTTGGTGCTGCTGCACGAAGGGTCTTGCTGGGTGCTGGGCACCCGCAGGTGGGGAGTCCCTTGAGCTGCAGTGGCCTTGGTAGGGAGCAAGGATCTAACTGGGCACCTTTGCTGCGTGAATTCAAGCTGCTGGTGGCCGGGGAGAACGTATTGTTGGAGTCAAAATGAAGCATTTTCCAAATCTTACTGATAGGTGCTGTTCTTGTGTTTGAAGCCCTGGTTTTGAAAAACAAAACAAATGGCCCCGTTTGAAGGGAAGTGGTTTTGGTAGGATCTGTAAAAGGCTCGGTTTCAAACTGAGAATACTCCTGAAGCCCTGGCAGTACATTTGGTTATTTATCTGTGCTTCACACTTGTAAGAGAGCTGAAATAGGGAACATATGCTGATGCACTGCGTGGTGGCAGCTTTTTGAAGGGACATGAGGCAGCAAATGGCATTGGGAAAGCAAGTACGCAGCAAGCCCAGTGAATACCTCTGCTGGAAAGTGTGGATGGAAAAAATATCTTCCATCTTCTCCTAAAGGTGAATCAACTGACTTGTAGTACTGTCTAACCTGAGCCAAAGCCTGGTCACAGAAACCTTCCTTACGGCTCTCTTGAACTGGGATGAGTGTGATGTGCTCCCACTGAGCCCAGCTGCTGAGGCTGGGCCATGCCAGGTCTGCATTAGAGCATCGCATTAGATTTGCAAAACGCTCTTTTCCCCTTTTTGTCTTTCTAAAAAGAGAAGCGCATCTAAACAACTCAAGTGTGCCACTGATTCTTCCAAGGGTGTGCCAGAATGGACACCTGCCTGAAGCCTGGGCCCTTGCTAATGAGATAACCAGGACACCAGCAGATCTTCGCTTCCAACTGTGCTTACCCAACAGAAGCAGCTTTGATTGTCGCGCAGAGCGCGGGCAGCGAGACGGGGAGAGCGCCGAGCCCGGCCCAAACACCCTGTCCCTGCCCGGAGCGCCGCTCGCTCTGATGTGCGGCCAGCGCTTCTCCCAGCTGGAGCTGGAGCTGGAGCTGGAGCTGGAGCTGGAGCTGGAGGAGGCACCACGCTCCTTCCCCAGCAGCAGCGGCCTGACGGGGTTTCGCGGGGCGCGCGCCTCTCCCTGCTCCAGCATGTTGTTCCGCATGTCAGATGGATGTTGCTCTGCTGGAGTTTTGGCCTGCTCTGCTGCCTTTTATTTGAGTTGCTGAAATGTGCTGCTTGTAAAACTGTATGATGCAATCTTTATTGGAGGAAGGCAGTGGAAGGGCTTTGCAGTGCTGTTAGCTTCATAGCAGGGCATTGAATGAAATACAGCTAATGTGCTGGAGCAGGTAGGTGTGGGGCTTTTGGGGGGGCTAATGTGCACCTGGTGGTTTCATTCTTCAGAGCCATCAGCTGAGGGCAACTTTCTCTGGCTTCTTTTCAACACTGAGATCAGTATTTCTCTTTACTGCTGTGTTCACTCACTACCATTTTCATTTTGCTTTGCTTTCTCTGTTAATCTGGWCGTAGAGGGATCAAAACCCATCCTCCTTTGTGATGTGCACTGGATTTAAAAAATTGACAGTAGGCATTAGCTTTCCTGTAACGCTTCTGTACCGACGTGAGCTGACTGCCTCGGGCTCAGGGAGTCTCTTCTCCCTCAACCYGTGAGTGTCTGCTGTCTGTCCCTGTAAATAAGGAAGAAGAAAACCTGTAACTCAATTGTTCTTCTTGGAATGAAACTTGTTGCAGTTACAAGAGCAGTCAGAACTTTTATGAATATGATAAAATACAAATTAAAACTGCTTCCGATAGGGACTTTGCTGCCCTTCACCACAGTCACTTTACTTACACAGAGGAAGGAATAGCCACTCCATGACAGAAAGGAGAAGAAATCTTTCCTGCTGGTCTTTCTCCTGTTTCTGTATCTTCTGAGCGATCAATAATTTCTGAAAAGCAGATGCCTCTAAGAGGTGCCTGAAGCCACTAGTTCCAGTATTGAAATCCGTTCAGCGGTGCAGTCGAGTGCCGGTGCCACTCTTCCTCACTGCTGGTTTTGTGTGTGAACAAACACATCAGCTCTTCAGCTGCCACATGTTTAGTCATTTTAGTCCATCTCCATGGACTTTGCTTGGGTGCTGGGGAGAAGGGTATTTTGTCAGCAGGCCRCGTGTGTTGCTGCCTGCCTCGCTGTGAGACGCAGGTTAAGGAGCTTTCTGGACATGTCACTTAGTATTCCTGTCGCCTAGCGCTTGCAACGAGGCAGCGAGAGCCTGTGCGATGGATGACGTCTCCATCAGATATCATCAAACCTAGGGCGGGTGTCAGGTGAAAATGCCAGCAGCACCCAGAGGTGTCGGGARCGTGGGTGGGGTCCGAAGCGAGCCCTCCTCTGTGCCCAGCTGCGGTGTTTCCCGGAGCTCCTGTGTCCATGTTGCCTCTTCCCTGCAGCAGAGCGGGGGGTCACTGGCTCTTCAGACTCCGTGGAGGCACCCTGAGTATCTCCAGTAGGAAAGGAGAGTCTGTGTTCATCCATCAGAGGACAGCAGTGCTCGGCGTGTTGAACTCATGCTGTCCCGGGAAGGCAGCGTAATGTTCCCAGGCATGTTTCCCTTAGGTTGCACGTCCGTCCACAGCTGCTCTCATCTCTGCCCTTACCTCCCTTTCCTTCAGGGTCCGGGTGTACGATCTCCGCCAAAGCGAGTCCCTGTGCTCGCTCTACGGCCACCCCCTCGGAGTGTCGGCAGTGCAGATGGATGACTGGAAGGTGGTGAGCGGCGGAGAGGAGGGCTTGGTCTGCGTGTGGGACCAGCGGATGGGCTCCAAGCTCTGGGAGATGCACGCCAGGTAAATGGGTCTGCCTTTGGGAGCTTGCTGCAGGGCGGCTGTGGGATGCAGCACGCAGGAGCAACGCGGGAAGGGGGTGATCGGGGCCAAAGTAAGAGCTCCCCATGCCTAAGGCTGCTGGGACGGAGCTGCGCTGACATGAGTTTGCACTTGATACGGGAATCAGTCGCTGCCCTGCTGGATTCCTGTGCCTGTTTCTGCCTCTGTCCCATAGCTTTCTTACTCAGATTGCCCCTTATTAATTAAGGAGAGTGCTTTAACCAGGATGAAGGAGCATGCCATTTTTTCCTCCAGATTTTTGGCAAGATTTTAAGTCTTCCCCCATTCCCCACAATTACTTCACTGAATCTCAGATTTAAATGCTGGGCTTCTCACAGTTGTCTTAAATGCAGCTGGTTTTGAGCGTGTCCCTTCTCTGTGCTGTACCTTTGCACAGGGGCTGCCCCTCTGCACAGTCACCCACGCAGCGGCTCGCAGTGCTGAGCAAAGCCACCGGAGGGGATAAACCAGGGACACGGGCACTGTAATAGCAGCTTGTGCCACAAGTGCAAACACAGCTTAGGAGCCTAGAACTGGCAGAAGACTGTAAGTGGCTGCAGCTAAGTGATGATTTCCTGACCAAGCAGAAAAACCCAAAGTAGAAATACTCTTGTGCAAATGAAGACCTGAGGATTTAGCCCTTAGTAAGCCTGAACGATACCCAAAAAAATCAGGATTTATTTGTTCATTTTCTAAGTCTTTGCCAGAGAGGAGGTGTTTGCAGCCTCAGGAGTTCAGGCTGGAGCTGTCATTGATTGCTAGCAGGTATCTCCTCCTCYTGTGACCCTGTGGATGGTAAATGTGTCCTGGTGCAGCTCTGCATTAAGGACAGTGCCWCACTGATCAGCTCCTGGGGTATTGCTCAGCAGCGCGCCAGGGCTGGRCGATGGAGGAAGACGCCTATTGAAAGTGAGGCTGAAAATACCCTTTAAGCTGGACAGGAATGAGACAGCATCTCTCCAGTCCAAAAGGTTTTCCTAGAGAGAAACACTGGGTGTGAGTTGTTGTCCTTGCCTGTAACCCAGTGTCAGTGTGGAAAGGAAGAGCACAGACAAGGGATGTGGTGATGAGCCCTTGGAGAAGATTCCTGCCTGACTGCATGTGCAATTCCCCGCGTCCTGGGTGGCTCTTCACCAGCAAGGGGGTAAGGAGGGAAGATGGGATCTCCGAGCTGATGCCACGGAGGGGATTAGTAAAGCAGTGCCAGCTCAGTGCTSGGAGAGGGAGATGTGTGGAGCCGGGTGCCACTGTGTCCGGAGGCACRAGGGTTTTCCTGGAGCGCCTCAGAGCTGCAGCCTCCAGGGCTGCAGTGCCTGAAATATTCTCCGTCCTCCACGTGTCTTCTGGTGAGAGTCCGCTAGATGGTGATAAAAACTGCGTTTATCGATTTCAGATACGAGGAGAAGGAGCCAAAGGCCAAACATCTCGGCCTCTAGCCGCTGAGTGCCAGGTTCAATGAATTCTTGTGCAATCCAGCGCAATTCCTTCCCTGCTCTTAGCTCCTTTCAGAGCCTGGTGCAAGCGGCGTCTCACGCCGCGCTGCCGTTTGGTTTGCAGGCATCCCGTCCGCCACTTGCGCTTCAGCTCTCACAGCCTCATCACGGCCAACATCCCCGACGACAAAACGCCCCGCGGCGCCAGCCTCGACGACGACGACCTCACCGCGCACCGCAAGTGAGTCGCGGCTGCCGGCCGGGCCCGGCCCCTTGCACACACCAGCGCTCTGGAGGGTTGAAGGGGCACACGAAGCACCTGGGTCATCAGCCAGGGCTGTAACAGAGAGAGAGGGCAGGTAGACACAGCACAAAGATGAACCTTTCCAGACCGCTGGTGAACTGGCTCTCATTTACTTCTGAGCACAGGGGAACGTGTTTCTTTTTTTGGCAGGTGAGTATAAATGCCACTGAAGCAAGGCAAGGAATGCAGTTCTTTCCTTGCGTTAAGTATTAGTAATGATATCTCCTCCAAAAGGAAAATTACTGCTATTTAAACTCCACGTTTTGCCATTTGCAGCTCCGATGACTGTTGGCATTTCTGATTGAACTGTCAAGCCACATGACGCTCGTCCTCCCCATTCCTGAATAGATYAGAAATGTTTCGGCAGATGCCAATTACATCTGTGCATTACTAAAGTGAATCATCATTTTACGAACATTGTTGGCTTCTCCTGTTGAAACATAGAGTTAAGGTAGAATTTTAGTGTGTCCCGATTGTGTTTTGCGCAGGCATCGAGGAATCATCTACGCCTACGAGTTCTCAGCGGAGCAGCTGCCCGGCGAGAGCGTCCTTCCCATTTGCCGCTCTTCCTACGACGAGGTGGCCGGTTACAACTACAACATCGGCCTCGCGGTTCCCTATGACGACATTTAGGTAACAAGTCGCTTCTGGCTGGCGTCTGTGGCCCGGCCCTGTGCCTGGCACGTGGCCAAAGCGAGAAAGGAGATTCGCAGGGGACAGCCACCAACGGGGGCGGCTGCGGGCAGGGTTCATGGGTTGGGCTTTTGGTGGAAATTTGGGATGTGCAGAAGAATGGAGAGTGCAGCTGCCCTCAAACACTAAATAAGACTAACTGAGCCTGCAAATACTAAATCAGGCTAAAATATGTTGCTATGCAAATGTTTAAAGGTCCGCGGATGTGGAGCAGAGAGCCTGAGAACGGCGAGGACCATCCTGTCTCCTGAGAGCAAGATCCTTGCGGCCGGCCTGCCGGGGGAGGAGCGGAACGGGGCCGGTGCCGTCGTGGCCGTGGCCACGCTGCGCTCGGAAGCGGGATCCGGAGCGGCCGGTGCCGTCATGGCCATGGCCAGCGCAGGCTGGGAGCAGGGCGAGGAGCTGGAGCCGCTCAGTGCCCACCCGCCCCCAGGGAAGGAATCAAAACGCGGGCTTCRATGAGCGCTCCGGCTGTGTCACAGAAGTGGAATTTTGTCCTGTAATGAGCTGCTGATTCTTCTTTAAGCGCATCTGAACATATCTACAAACAGGCAAAGCCAATGCCCGAAAGGCTTGTGCAGGGAGGGTGCGGAGCAGAGGGAAAGGCTGGATGCTCGGAGCATCCAGCAGGGATGCTCAGCAGGCCGCGTGCTTCAGAATCATCTTTTAATAAATTATTTTTTTAAAATCTCTGAAATTCCAGTGTCTTTTAATGTTATGCGTGTACATGTATTTTTGGCTTTTCCTTCAGCAGTGAGGCTGGAGGACACAACGTGGCACTTAGGGGACACCAAGTACTAGGGCTTTATCTTAAACGTGGAAGTTGCACGGACGTAGCCGGGACTGGTGGGGCTGAAGAGGAGCTGCTGTCCCGTGAGGACACCTGTTACTGCTTTTAGGCTGTTTCAATGGTTGTGGTTGCACTTGTGAATTTGCTGGTGCAATCCGAAGCAGCATCACGCAGGGCGAGATGGAATTGGGCTGCGGGACCTTTCCAGGGGTTACATGAGGAGGGGTCAGCAGCACCCGGCTCCCTCCGTGCGCGCCGCGCTGGGGAAGGGCGCCCGGGAGGAGCCGGCGGCCCCGGCCCGCAGGAGGCGCTCGGGCCAGCGCCCTCAGGCTCCTGGAGAGCCCGTGCCCGCGTCCCCRCTTGCTCCTGCCTGGAACGGGAGCGAGCTCCCGACTCCCCGCTCTGGCCTGCGCTGCTTTCCCAGGAGCCCTAAGCCGAGGGCCGTGTGTGTTTTGTGCTGAGGTGACCTTCCCAGGGCTGATGTAAGAACTGCAGGGGGTGACGTCGTGCSCTCCAACCGGTAAGTCCTGTCTTTTTGAGGAGTCTTTGGTCCTTGTTTTTCCTTCTCCCATCTCTGCCCTTCTGGGCAGGTGGCTCCCTCCCCACATCCCTACCTGAGCAGGAGGTATCAGATACGTCCTGTGATGAAGCTGGTCAAAGAAAAAAGAGCTTCTTTATCACAAGTGATTTTGGCCCTGGATCTTTTCTGTGGCTGAAGCCCGTTGGTTCCTCCTTCCCTGCTGCCTCCCGGGGATGCTCCGTGTCCTGCTGCTCCGCACGGTGCTGGTGGCCGCTGCCTTCGGTCCCGTCCTGCCTGCGCGAGCCGCGGCGGCTCCCGTGTTCACCCGCGTCCCCCGTCCCTGCCCGTGGCCCCCGCAGCGGTGCCCTGGGACCGGCGCTGCCTGCAGGAGGTTTGGGGGCCGCRGGGCCCTGGGGCCGGCGGAGCGGAGGGACGCGCGTCCCCTGCGGCCACCGCGTCGCTGCCCAACTGCTGCTCCCAGCGCAGCGCTTCCCACCAGGAGCTCACGGCGCGGTTCACGGTTGCAGGATCTCCCAGGGACTCAAAGTGCCGACGACACCRTGCAGGCTGCGGGCGCGTCCATGCCAGGAGCTGGATTTCCATTTCTGAACAGGGGGTTGTTCTGTCCCGCCGTGCTCGGCTGGTAGCTCCGCGGAGCTGAGGGGGAGGCTGGAGGCAGCGGGAGGCCCGGGAGGGCCTTAGCTCAGGGCTGTGTGGGGGGGTGGTGGCCACCGAGCCAGTCGGGACGGCCCGAGCGGTGCCGCTGCCCGCAGCAGAGGTCGGGCGCCCTGGAGGCTGCTGGGTCCCCAAGCTGCGCTGAGGAACTGCAGCAAGCTCCAAAACTGCAATAAAGGGAGAGGTCAAAATTCGGGCTAAGGACCCTCAGGAGCTTCTGCTCACATCTCTCGGATGCAGCAGGGCGGCCGGCCCTGCCGCAGGCAAGGGGAAGGGGAGGCCACGGCAGGCGCCTGTCACCTGCTGGTGGCCTCCAGCCTCTGGGGACTGCAGAGCCCCGGCACTCGCCCAAGGGAAAAGCGCCCGGGACCGGGGTCTCTTGTGGGACACATCCCTGCAGGAGGTGCCCCCGGCTGGGGGCTGCAGGAGCCGCTTGTCGATGTACAAGTTGTAGCTGCCCCGCTGCTCCCGGCCTGGCGGAGGAGCCGCTGCCATAGAGGCCGCTCCTCAGAGGCGAGAGCTGCTCCCCACGTGCCCAGCCCCTCATCCCTGTCCCCAGGCAGCCTGGGAGGGCCTGGCCTCGCCAAGGACAAGGAGACTTCCTCCTGTAATGGTTTTAGTGGCCTTTTCTACCATCCTTTCCCTTGTGCTGCCCAGTGGCCCTGGTGAGAGCTGTGGGGAGGCTGCTGATGACGAAGGGTGACTGGGGCCGTGAGGAGCTGCCCAGGCTGAGGAGGAGGAGGAAGGTCCTGCCCTGGACCCTGGGAAGGGTCTGACCCTGCAGGTCCTGCAGAAGCCGGGTTGGCCCTGGCTGCTCGTGCATGGGGGACCATCACCGAGATGGGGTCTGTGGTGGGGGGCAAAGTGGTGTTGTGAGTTTTGGTTTGGTTTTGGTGGGGGTGGGAAATAATTTTCCTTGGATTTTACTTGTCCCTGGGGAGGGGAGGAGTTATTTTTGTTCAAATAAAGCAAACATCTTGTCCCAGCTTTGCTAAAAACAGCTCGTGCCCTTTCCCCGCCGCGCCGAGGCTGCGGTGGCGCCTGCAGCCCCGCGTGACGCCGGGAAGCGGCTCCGGGSCCGGGAACGCGCGGGGGCGGCAGCAGCCGGGAACCTGCAGCGCCCCCGTCCACAGCAGCGCGGGGACGTCCCCAGCCCTGCAGCCTCCCATAGAACAGGAAGCAAGAAGAGAAATGCGTTTTATTGCAGGTCAAAGTCAGTGGGGACCGCGTGGGTCTGTAGAGCCACGCGCAGCCCCGAGGCTCCTGCACCCTCCTCCTGGTGCTYCGTGGGTGCCACTCAGCAGCAGTGGGCGATGGGCTCCATGTTGAGGAAGCGGACGTGCATCTTGGTCTCGATGTCGATGCCCCTCCAAATCTGCTGGGGGACGCGGCAGCTCCGCATGATGCCCCCAGCTCGGGCACAGGGAGCAGCGGAGCTGGGACAGGGGCACCACGGCCCCGGCAGAACCAACCTTCAGGAAGTCATCRAAGGTGATGCCCTCGTACACCTGGTTTGGCTCCTGAGTGCGGCGAGAGAGCGTGAGGCCGGGCGGGCAGGGACATCCCGGTGACAGGGCTGCTCCCGCCASACTACGGCACCTGGAGCCCAGCATTGGGAGCCCAGCACGCGGACCCCAACACCTAGATCCCAGTATTGGGAGCCTGGCCAGTGCCACCACCCTGAGGAGGCCCCAAGCTGGGGTGGGGTCCCTATGCAGAGCCTCCCAGCCTCAGATCTATACAGTCATATGTATATGGAGGACCAATAGTGCCCATGCCCTACGGCAAACGAAGGACCCGGCACCCACCATTTGCCCCACGCAGATGCTGGCCGCCTCCAGCATGGCCCCGTCGGCAATGGACCTGGCCGCCCCCTTCTCCAGGTGTGGGTTGCCTGACAGCAGCTCCTCGACCACCTGCAGGCGGCAGGAGGTCGTCAGGGCCRGGCCAGCCGCACGGCGGCGCCGGGGTGGGCCGTGCAGTACCTTGCGGTACTCCTGCAGCGTGATGATGCCGTCGTGGTCCGAGTCGTACATGTGGAAGAGAACTGGGGAGCGAGAGCAGCGGGTCAGCCCCTTCCTGGCCACAGCCGCTGCCGGAGCCGGGCCGGGGCTGCCTCACATTTGAGCTTGTTGGTGCGGAAGCGCTGGAGCTGCTCCTCGTCCATGTCGGGCTCGATGGGCCTGAAGTAGGACATGATGGTGAGGAAGTCCTCGAAGTTGATCTCATCCGCCAGCCCGTCCTCTTCCTGCCGCAGGTTCCTGCCGGGAGGGAGCAGTGACAGGCGGTGGCCGCCGAGCACCCGCCTTGGTGACGCAGCCGCAGGCGGGCGCCCTGCTCCTCCCCAGCGCCCCCTCGGCACCGCGTGGCCCGAGGCTGCGCCCTGCCCCACGGCTCCTCACCGCCTGTCGAAGAAGGCCTGGACAATCTTGCAGCGGATGGGGTTGAACTCCAGGTCGGGGACGCTGTCAAAGTGCTCCTTGCTGCCAGCGAAGCAGAGGGGACCAAGTGTGAGGGGGCGCTGGGCACYGTCCCCTGCGGGGTGTCCCGTGGGGAGGTGATCTCGGGGGCCAGACCCGGCCCTGCTTCGTGGGAGCCGCCGGGCACCGCCAGCCTCTCCGCAGCCCCTGCAGCGCTCACCGCAGGGTCGGCTTGTCGTTGCTGAGCTGCTTGAAGCGCCGGTGCAGGTGCTCGATCTGGTCCGACGTGACTGGCGGGGAGAGAAGAGCTCTGAGGGGCCCCAGGCAGCGCCCGGAGCTCCGGGCTTTCCCCATGGCTCCCCATGGCAGCTTGGCCCCGGTGCTGGCGCTGAGCCTGGCAGCAGCTCATCACACACATGGATGTGAGGGCCGCCCCCCGCAGCGGTGCTGCTGCTCGGCCAGCGCATGGGGACCTCTGCTGGCCCTGGGGGGACACTCCTGGGCTCGTGACTGTCCCCGTGGGGTGAACGCAAACTTTCTGCTTAAATTTTCAATTCAAGTTTGTTGACTTTTTCTCCAGACATGGTGGAGAGACCCTAATGGGACTTCCCTTTTGTGGCTTCCTTGGGCCTCGTCTCGATGGCGTTTGGAGAGTTCCCTCCTTTGGGAACCCGCCAGCCGAGGGGCTCCCTCGGGATGCGGGGGTTGCACCAGCCAAGCAGGGACACGGGGGGCAGCGAAGGCCCGGGGGCAGCTCTGCCCATGGGGTGGTCGGGGGCTCAGGCCTGGGCCAGGAGGAGGAGGAGGAGGAGGAGGAAGGCACGGGAGGCGCAGGGGCGGCAGGGCCCCGGCGGGCGCTCCTGGCTCCCTCCCCACTGATGCTCCCGACTCCCGCGGGTCTCCCTCGCGGGAGCGCCCGGCTCCGCGCGGGGCTGGTGGCTGCGTCCACTGCTGCGATGAGCGGCGCCGGCCTCTGCGCGGCGGCAGCGGCGCCCCCCGCGCCCCCCCGCGCCGCGCGGCCCGGCCAAGGTCGCGGCGCCCGCTACTCACAGCCCGTCTTGTCGGCGAGCGCCCGCATCTCGGCGGGCAGCGAGTGCGCGGAGCCCATCCCGGCCCGCGCCCCACCGGCACCGGCACCGGGCCCCGCGCCCCGCCGCTCCGCGCGCCGCCGCCGCCGCTTTTAAGGGCGGGCGCGGCCAAGGGGGGGGCGGCCGCGCTGCGGCTTCGCCGCTGCCGCGCCGCCGTTAGGTTCCAGAGTCAACGGCCTCCCGCGGCCGGGCGCTGCGGCAGGGCCCGGCGCCCCCCCCGCCCCGGCCCGTGCGGCTCCCGCCGGGCATCGCCGCGCGCGGCCGCCCGCGGGGACCGGGCTGGGGACGGGGGGGCTGCAGGGACACGGGCCGCCCCCCGGCTCCTCCCCCGGGGCCGGAGCCGCCGCGAAGGGGCCGGGCGGGAGCGGCAGCCCCGGGCAGGGGGAGCAGCGCGCGGGACCCCCGCGCTGCGGCGGCTGCCGCCCCCTTCCCTCCCCGCCGCTTCCCGCTCCCCGGCTCCCCCGTCCCGCCCGCCGCGCGGCCGGCACCCACGGGCTGCCCCACGGGCCCCACGGGGCTCCTGGCAGGAAGGTCCTTCCGTGGGGGGGCGGTCAGGCAGCACCGGCGGCAACAGCAGCACCTGCCCCGGGATAACCACAGCCCTGCTGCCAAGGAACACAACACACACTGATGTATGTGCACATATGTATATGTGTGTGTATATATAYATAATCTTTAGCAGATGYACAGTCCTGCTGCCCCGACGTTGCTCCCGGCCACAAGGAGCCCTCAGGCTGTGAGCGACGCTGCTGCCGCAGCAGCCGCGGGGCGCAGAGGGACAGCAGGGGCAGCGGGAGCGGCTTCCCCTGCCCCGCCAGCCCCGGGCCGCGGCTCCTGACGGGAGGCTGCGGTTCGGGAAGCTCCGCACRCCTGGCGATAGGGGATCCCAGCTCCACGCAGGCACAGGGGCCTGCGCCAGGGGCCTGCTCTTCCCCCTAGAGCCACCGGTGGTGATGCCCACCAAACCCTCCCGTCACCCCTCAGTGAGGAGCGGGGGACCCGGCCCTGGACACGGGGCCGCTCCGCTGGCATCACGGCTGCACCGGGGCAGAGTGCTGAGCTCCGCGCGGCACCAGGGAGGAGGGCGAGAGGCTGCGGCAGAGGAGGCCGGTCCCGCTTCCTCCGGGCCTCCTTCCTGGCCAGGAGCGGCAGCAGCAGCTCGGGGGCGGCTCCAGGATCCCCCTCTCCTTACGGGGCACAGGGCCTGCTCTCAAGTGCATGAAACACTGGAGTCCAAAACCCGGTGGTGGAGAAACGCTGCCCAACTCCTCCCCCGGTCCCTGCCCTGGCCCCTGGCACGGGAGTGGCTCCTCCTGCGGATGACTCAAACGTCCTTGTGTGCTCGGGAGCACGATGAGGTCATGAGAGGGCCCCTGTGGCAGAGGGGAACGCGCAGCCTCACGGAGGTCACACAGACACACAGTGAGGGCCATCAAAGCCGAGCCCTGCTCCTCTGCGTCCAGCCTCTGCCCCGAGCATCAGCACTGTGATCCAGCAGCCCCATTCCCTACCTTACCTCCCAACTAGGAATAATTTGGAAATTGCTTCAAGAGTCTACTCCAGTCCTTGAAACAAGACGGATGGATTCTGTTTGAGACTTTGCCCAGTATTTCCCTACCGTGCTTTCACTTGGATCCACTCTACCTCTGCAGGGAAAGAAACAAAATTAAAATAGTAATTAAAAATAAATCTAGCTCCCCCTCCTTGCGCTCCCAAATTCATTTCAGTGTGGACTTCTTCAAAGGCACCCCTTGTAGCACAGCCACCTGCACTACTTCTGCGTTTCCTGGAGCACCAGGATTCCCGCAGGCCACCGCTGTGGCTCAGGCAAACCCGGGTTTATTCCTCCTGTTCCAGCAGGGCCGCGTGTTCCAGAGGGATGGCACACGGAGCAGGCTCTCTCCAAAGGAGGGTTCGGACTCCACAGGGCCACGTGTGCAGGGCTGTGAGGAGCCAAGAGCAGCCCCGGAGCTGCCGGGCTCGGGGCCTCGCGGCCACCTCCGGCACGGGCACCACGGACCTGCTGCGCGGGACCTGCAGGCCTCGCTTCGGGAACCGGTCTGCTGGGTCTGCGCACGCACGGAACGGGTCTGCGCCCCATCCTGGCCCAGTTTAGAGGAAATCCCTCCAGATCCCACTGGCCTTCATGTGCCCCGGGCTGCCAGGGCTCTTCCGTGTGCGGTCTGCAGCACGTGCCCAGCTGGCACTGGAGTCCATTCTCTTTTGGCAAAACAGAAGACAGCCTCAAGCTGCAGGCTTGAGAACCTCCTGCACGGCTGGTTTGACTCCTTCCAAGGCTGGGCAGTGTCCTGGCACAGCCACGATCCAAGGAATATCTATTGATCAGGGACTACAGCGACCAGGGGCGCGCCACGGGTCAGACTGTCCCCCCAGCACTGACCTCGGAGCTTCCACAAACCTCTGCAGCGCCGTTCGGAGGGGCCTGGGAGCATCTGCGGCTCCCGCCTCACACGGACACTGCYGGAGCAGACCGAAGAACAAGGGTCAGAACGTGGCTGGGTGCATTTAGCAGACACAGGAAAGGGCAGCTCTTGTGATGAGGGATGTATGGACCATCCATCACCTGCATTTCAGCATTACCACTGCCGAGGGAGTCCTGCTGTTGCTGTTCTGTTGCTGGGACACTTGCCAGGGCCCATGAGGACATTCAGAGCCAGGACGGCAGCTCTGTGAACAGTCAGACTACGGAGAAGCAAGATTTGAGCAAAAATGCAGACTGGAGAAGACAACAGTGAAACTTTAAGAGATTTTAAGAATGAAATGTCAGAATGACCACTGGTGTGAGATACACAAGAAATGAGCACTGCAAGGACAAGCAACTTCCTTCTCGGAAAGAGAGGCTTCCTCCTTATTCTGCAGCAGGGATCTCACTGCATTGACAGTCCAGGCAAGACRACCACAGGGCAAAAAGTACGTGCAAATCTTTCCTAAGGGACGACGTGCTTGACTGTCCCTGCAAGTCCCTTGCCCTGGGCTCAGCTACCAGCACGTCCTTGCGCCTCCGGGCCGGCGCGGGCGCAGGGAAGATGCGGCGGCCCTGTCCTCGAGGGGCAGCGCCGCTCTCAGCACGTCAGGCCTAAGGACGGTGCCCGCGCCTGCCTTGCCGAGAGGACGGAGCTACATTCCAGCTGCTTCTGCTCTCACAGTGTCTTTTTCACTCACTCCTTGCCTGAACTGTAGATCTTCTGAACTGTGGCACGTGTGAGCTCCAAGTCCTCTGGGTACCGAATTTCTAGCTCGGTATTTGGTAGGTAGTGAATGCCGGTAAACTCGGAAAAGTAACGGCCGATGTCAGGATGAGGGATCTCCCGAGGCTCAGAGATATATTCCAGTTTCTCTGTCAGGAAAGCAAAGAGAAGAGTTATCACTACACGAAATGCTCTGCTGCAAGAGAGTAAGTCCTGTGCTCCGCAAGCCTTTATGTCTCAGAGCTCCAGAAACGGTCTCAGTGGGGACACGGCCCGACGCTCCTGTCACTCCCAGCTGGGATAAGCTGCAGCGTTGAGCTCAGACCCCCAAATCCTACTGGGGATTAATTCCAAGCAGAGACCTTTCTCAAATGCTCCAAGGAGCAGCCGACTGCACAATGCTGTCCTCCTTCCAGCCACCAGCATGGATTTCAACCGTATCTCACACAGACAAATTAACATCTCTAATCCCCAACTTCTCCCAGTAAGAAAAAGTCCTTAAGAAGAGCAGGTTGATGCTTTCCCAGAGCAGTCCACCTCCTCCTCTGCACAAGAAAGCTATCAACTGATTAAGTGTAGTAGTTAAACAATGCTTAAAAGAACAGCACTGAAAGCAAAGGTGACCGAGGAGCAAGCCACAAGCGCAGGTGCTCTGCAGCAGGCCCAACATGATGTCATTTTTTCCAGCGCGCTGCCAGCGATGCAAACACCCAAACCTGCCAAAGGCAGAGCCCGACTTATCCACAAGGCAGGCGCAGGGACGAGGGGAACCCGGAGAGCGGGATTCAAGGTGAAAGGAGGCGAAAGGAATCGAGGTGCCGGCAGGGAGCGGGCAGGGCAGCCCGCGGAGGCRCTCGGAGCACCGACACGAGGCGCGGGCTCCGCGCGCCCCGGCAGCCCTTGCACAACACCGCCTTCCTGCAGCGGGCGCGGAGCGGGTTGTGCTGCGGGAAGCGGCACGGAAACGGTGCCGAGCTGTGGCCAGAGCAGCAAACGACACGGGCGGACACGGAGGGAGCCAAGAAACAGCCTGGGGAGCTGGTGTTGAACCTCAGGTATTTGGCCTGGGCTGGCACAGCACAGCAAGGGCAGGAGAGGCCGGGGCGGCACCAAATTCACTGCACAGGACACGTGTTTTGGGATTAGCCGCAGCTCAACCTATGAATTGACAGGAAAGACTCAACCCGAAGCACAGTTGCTCGGCATTACTTCTGAGCTGGTTAGCTAAAACTGCATGTGGATTAAAGATTCTTCCAGTAAAAAATAACATTCCCTCTCTGAAGTCTGTCACAAAGCACACAATTCCCAAATGGCCTGGGTAGGTATTTAGGAGAAGATACTTAACAGATAGGCAGGGAGGTTTCAGTAAGCACAGATAAAACCCTTATTTTTTCCACAAGAAATATCAAAACTCACGGAATACCGCAGAGATGGCAGTGCCAGCCTAAAAACATGGCTAAAACATGCAGTACTCTGGAATCAGCCAGCATTGCATTTGCTTGGAAACAATTGGGGCTTAAAGCAAAAAAAATACTGGAAGAAATCAGAACAGATGACTCAGTCGCAGAAGCACTTGTTGAAAATCATCCAATTAGTTTTCCCTGCAGTGCACGTTCTAACAACTCCGCTGCACGCGAGAGTTGTTGTGCACGAGCGTGCACAGCTAGAGGCAGCGAGCAACAAGGCTGAGCTGCAAATGTTCTGTGGCCCCACACCATCTTTTTAGACTCTCTAGCGAAAGAACTGAAATGTGTGGTTGTTTTTTTTTCTTTTTCTTTTTCTATCAGCATTTCCTGCTCAAAAGTTTCTGCATTTTCTCTCAGAAGGGCATGGCCCAGCTGTGCAGCTGCCCTGCTGCTGGTGACAGCTTTTTCCACAGAGAGCAGCAAGGGGGAGACAGAAACGCTCTGCTCAGGATGGCCGTTYTTTTCATTTCTTTTTAAACAGTGTGTTGCTTCAAAAACGGGCAATAGAGATTTCCTCACTCTTGGCATTTGTGACGAGACCTTTATTTTTGTCCCATTCTTTCTAGAGATGGCACTGACAGCCCCGCTGCTCTCTCGGATGTCTCATGGTGCAAGCCCTGACAAGGGAAGGCCACACGCTCCCTCACCAGATACTGTTCTGAAGTTCTGCCCGAAGCACAACTACAATTTCAGAGAAGTTTTGCAGAGCTCGCCGAAGCTGAACGAGGGCTTTTAAAAGCAGAAATCGTGCTCTAGATATGACTGGCTTTTATGGCATAGACTATGCATTTCTACAGGAAGAGAGAATACACCAAAGTGGTCCTTAACTTTCCTTCCCAGCAGTAATCATCTCCTCCAGAGCAAACAAAACAGCCATTAGTTCAAGACCATTTTCCCTTCTGTCTCAAGATAACCTTAACTTGCAGCTTATGCTTCAAACTTAGCAGAGGTGATCATTTAAGCATCCCTGCCAGGGCACATCCCCATCCACTAACACAACTCAAACACTCGTCACCACAAAGCAAGCAAACCTCCTCCTCCTCCTCCTGTATTTCTGAGCAGACTGGCTAACTCAGGAGACTCCTTTGCTCACCTTGAGCAGCGTATCTGCAAGAGCCATCTTCCACCAGCACGTTGTAGAAAGGCTGGTGAGGGCCATGTGGAAGGCTGTGGACATTCATGTTTCGGATCCATTCATGTCCCATCATGCAGGTGGGATCCCAGCCATAGATCACACAGTTATAGCCATATCTAATTAAAAAAAAAAAAAGGTACAACACAAAGACCATGTGAAAACATCAGAGCCACCTCTTTTCCTCCGAGACACACAGCACAAACAGGCTAGAAGCCTCTTGGGAGCCTCGTCACAAGATGGAGCAGGGATAAAGCAGCGTAAGAGAAGTGTGGGTTTCTCTCTGTGTGCCTTGGGGATAGGTGTGAATGGCTAAGCTGGGTAAACAGAACAAAGAGCTGAGGTCAAAAGAAGACTAGATCTGAGGCTGGGATATCAGCAACCAGGAGAGCAGAAAACAAAGAGGGAGGGAACAAACCTTTCTTTCACGTTGTGCAAGTACTTTTGCTCCCCTGACAAAGCCGTGGCAACCCCAGTATCGAACTCCCAAACACAAAGCCAGCATCACTTTCAGAATATTTCTGTGATTAATTGTGAGGTATCACGACYGCCACTGCTGACACCCTACAATGTGCTCCAGATGGTCTCGCTGAGTCAGAGCGGAGGCCAAGGCACCACGGTGCTGGCACGTCATTCCTGCAGAGCAGGACAGGCAGGAGCACCAAGGCTCTGTGCAATGGGGGAAGAAGATGGTAATAAAACCGGAGGGAAAGATTCATGAGCTCCCTTAGGAGTCTTACTACAGCTCCTGAAGTCGCTTCCCTTCCACCAGGCCTCTAGAAGCCACAGCAGTTCATTAACTGATTACTGATGCTTTCTGGGAGCTTTGTGCTGTGGAGCTTCTACTTACGTGATATACGATGGCTCAGATGAGTCACCTCACAAACCTCTCCACAAGCAAACAGCGGCGAATGTGCTCAATCTCTCAAGAGACAGAGAGATCTGCTCCCATTTTTCTAAGTGATATTCAACACAGATGCATGTGCCTGGCATTTTCTTTTCCAGATATCTTTGTGCCAGATAAAATCGTGTTTCGTTAGTGTGAGAACAACCACTTTGCACTTGTTACAGTGCAGCCTGCTAGCACAGGGGAGGTCTGGAAGAGCTCACCTCTTGTGCTTCATAATCAGCCCAACAGAAAAGCAGACTTCTTTGTGCTTCTCCTCYGCTCGGTGCTTCACCTCGGGGCCCACCTCCTCCTTCCGCCGCTCAATGTGCTCCAGGGTGTGCTGGACTAAGTATCGAGCGGTCCCGTGTTGGGATGGGTCCAAAGCCTGAATGTGCTGCAAGATGTCCAGAACCTTCAGCAACCAGAACGAGATGACAGATTCAGAACAAGTCTGTGCACTTACAAGCACATACAGATATGCTTGAAGTTAGTTGGGTCTAAGTGCCCAGGCCTAGAGGTCTGGCACATGCGAGCTCTCCACACAGGACTGTGGATCTTGGCTCGGGCTACACTGTCGSAAGGAGTTCTTCACACTTGCTCATCCTGAAGCAGCTATAGACGGTTCTCTTTTTCAATCTGGAAGCTCCCTGCTTCCCAGGAAGGTCACTGTTGAGCCAAACAACTCCCCAAAACTAAAGCCACACAAAGTAATCRTGTCACATTCTGCCACTACAAGGCATAAAGAGATCATTTCAAGGCTCCCGAGATGRCAAGAGCTATTGCAAGGCTCCCAAATTGCTCTCATGAAACAACTTCAGATAATTTTGTTCTTTCTGAGGACAAACAATTCAGTTTAAAAAATTTCCTTAACATTTCTGGGAGAGAGTGGCAGAACAAGAAAAGCAGCAGCAAAGGAGAGGGAAGTGCAAATAAACCAGCTGGTCTGTGAAACAAAGAATGAGAGACTGAAGTCACTTGTCTCAAGAACACCAACTTTTAAGCATTCACATAGCACCAAACCAGTAGAACCAGAACACTGGGCTACCAACACCCTCTGGCACAGTGTCAGAGCACCAGGGCATGGGAGCTGCTGTAAGGGACAGGCAGCCTCCGCTTTAGGAAAAAAAAAAAAAAAAAAAAGGTGTTTTCCCAGAATGATTGCTGATTATGTAGCTAAGGCCTTCAAGAACAGCTCTGGTCCTGTTTGTAGAAGGTAATTTCTTATGAATTTTCCAGGAAGGCAATTGCTCTTTTTGCATGAGCACAGCAAGAGTTCTACCATTACTATAATTCATCCGTAAACCACCTAGAATGCTCTTGTATCTCACGGCTTCAGCTTGAGGTCCACGGCAGCAGCTTCCACATAAACTGTCAGACCCTAACAGTAAATCCTAACTTATGACTCAGACTCTAGGCTGTTCTCAAGTCTCTCCTAGTGCAAGCAAGAATCATCCTCTTTCCCCGCTTCACAGAGTAGAAATCGATTCTCTGAAGTGTGATAACTCATTCTATTGCATTTATTACAGAAATAACTTGTGGCAGACTATAACGTAAGCTGATGTAGTCCAAAAATCAATAACTAGTGTTAACAGCGCTTAGCCTATCAGAAAAACACACAACCAATGGCTGAGGTACCTTTTCCGGCCAGATTCCCAGGTGGAAGTATAATCTTGCCTGGAGCATTAGATGCTGCACATTGTCGGGATACATGGCCAGGTACAGATCCAATGAGTCTCTCAGGAGCTGATAAGACTGATCAGTGCTTTCTCTGCAAGCAAAACAGAAACTCAATTTAAGGCTAGCTCCCCAACCCTTATGCTTAGTACTCAAGCATACAGAGAGAGCCACCAAAATGATGCTGTACAGTATGCACATCTGACAGGAGTGACTCCAGGGATGACTATTGCTCATCACCGGAAGAAATGCCACAGTTGCTAGCTTGAACCCACTCTCCCACTCCTCTACTTGGTCAGATAACCCTATGGAGAGACTTCTCTCTCCAAGTCTTACGTTCATTTTCTTTCAAACTTTGCTTCCTTCCCCACTTTGCTTAACTACAACTGAAATAAGTATTTTACTCTGCAATTTCAGCCTAGAACTACCTCGAAGAGTGATGAAGAGGTGCATTTGGAAAAAACAAATCAACAAAAATCCCACCACCACCCTCCCAACAAAAATGACAAACAACCAACAATGGTCCCTTTGAAATGGTTCGTGTGAGCACACAGGTTGTCTACCTGATCATAACGAAGGTCTCTGCACTCAAGAGAACACGCGATGGTCCTTTACAGTTCTTAACAACTTCTTGCACAGAGAAAGTCGTCTGTTTACTTTTCTCAAAGGAAACTGTTTTTACTAAATATTGTTACTTCCTCACAATACCGCTGCAGGTGAGAGACTATTTGGCATGACTGATATTATTAAAGCCCTCAAATAGTGTTAAAAACAGCACTAGCTTTGCAGAGAGTGTATTTTGGGTTCCTTTTCACAGACTTTCTGGGCCAGATGCTCCTCAGTTGCAACTCACCGCTTCCCAAGGTTTAAGAGATTGCCCACCATCCGCTGCAAGACCTCCTTTGAAGTCACCACTCCATAGAACTCCTCTGTCACGTGGTGGCCGATGAGGTACTCGCACTCCTTCACTGTCAGCTGCTTCCCTTTGCCAAAGGCATCGATGTAGGTGTAGTCAAAAATATCTGTGCTCCTAACAAAACATCGAGGAAGTGACACTGTGATGAGAGGGGGCTCTCAGGAAAGCAGGATTCTCTATTTCTGCTCTTGGGAAAACACACAGCAATTATATGGACTTTTTCACTCCATGCCAGTTCTCCAAATGTTTGCAGGCTCGCTGTATTTATTGCTACATAAAATTATGAAGATGGATTGCAGTCCACGTCTATGGTATCTGAAACACAGCCTCAAAAGGGGCAGACATAGGCAAAAATCATTGTTCCAAATTAGACTGATGTCATTGCAAAATACAGATCTCTGAATTAAACTGAGACCAGATCAGAGATTTCATGCACTGATTCAGAGGATTAAATGAGCACACAGCACAGCAGCAATGATCTCTAACAAATGTACTGTATAAAAGCTTCAGTGAAATCAGCATCTTTTTTCTCTCAGTTCTTCATAATTTTATTATGTAGGAGAAACATTGCCACATGATTACTGTTCTTTTCTACTGAGAAAATGTTACAGTTCGTTAAGAGCAGGGGTGAGTTCTGAGAGAACTTCTTTAGAGGTTTGCTCTTTTCCCCAGCACCGCTATAACTGCATATTGAAAATAATTAAGCATTCTGGCAGAGGTACCAAGCTGTAAATGATTTCTGGACTTCATTAGYGTGGACACAACTTGTGAAATTTAGTGGATCACTTACCCTTCCTTCCCTTGACACCAGCGCAGCAGAAAATGGCTGGGGAAATTGACTGGTTCAAGTTTGACTCCCAGCTGCCTGGCAATTGATAAATAAAGCACAGACAAACTGATGGGAATTCCTGTCCTGCGAATCAAAACCTGGGGCGAAATTCAGAAAAAAAAAAAAAAATCACAAAAAAGCAAGGTTTTATTTTACAAATACAGAACATGAAAACACAAAGATTGACAGAACATGCATTAATTGATGAAGTCATATTGAGTTTAGAGCAAGTTATTCCCTTGAGAGAACTCCTTGCCTGACTACATTTACACATAAAGTCGCCAACAATCAAATGCCTGAGGGTTGCAGTCTGTTAGTGTTATCCCAACACACACATACCTGGTGAATGTATGAATTCAGGGAGTTATAGTAATCCAGCTCATTTCCTTTGTATTTAAGCTGCTCATACAGGACACAATTCATAGCATCAAGCACCTGCCGCTGAAGCTCCACTTCTGGAACCAAGAGCTCTTCTAAAAAAGACACACAGAGCGATAAAGACYGAGACAACTAGCGTATTAAACCCTCCTGATTCACTAAGGCTCATACCAGGAATCCCAGGGACTGAGGTACATCTTCACTGCTCAACAGTCCCAGGTAGGCCACCCCAGACATCCACAGATGCAGCCAGGCATCTGTTCTCTCCTTGAAGGAGAGCAAACATAGAGAATGTTTTTGCAAAGCAAGGACCAAGAGCCTTTCTGACCTTCAGAGATCTTAATGCACACATCTTTTCTACTGCTGTTAACTTCCTAACACTTGCGAAAAAGAAGATGTTGCCCCACAGCCCTGTTTTCTCTGGTTACGCATCAGGATTGCTTAAGACTTCGGGGGCAAAGGAAAATTGCYCCAAAGTTTTTGTCTGTCATCAAAGAGATGTACATACAGCGCCGATGTACTAAGTTCKGCAGCTGAACAGATGCTTGTTACCTGCACAACAGTTAAGCAAGTGTCAGATTGCTTTTGCAAGGTGCTTAGGGACAATAATTATTTTGCTAATAGACAAGCTGTATCACCTCGCCTGCCTATGCCCAGAGCCCCATGGAAGGCTCYGCACCAACGTGCAGCTTTCCGTACAGTACCTGCCTTGGAAGCCAGGCTAGGGTGCCTGGGATTTTTTGTCCGCAGGACTTGGCGCACTTGGTCTGCGATATCCTCGACCTGCGCCTGGACACCCCTTAAGCAGATGTCTGAGAGAGGGTTACAGTATTGGTCAATCAAAACGGCACCTGGAAAAAAAAGCAAACTSCATAAGAAAGATGACTTCAAGTCTTTCTCTGCTTAGCTTTTACGTACCCTAAATTGCAGCTCTGTGGCAAAGAACACCGAGTGAATGCTGCAGAACACAGCAGTTTTCCACTTTAGTTTGCATATTTTGTGGATGATAAACCCAACATGCAAAAGCAAATAACCTCCAACTAAAACACAGCAATTTCACTTCGGAAAGCATTTGTTTTGCCTCAAGGCTCCCGATGTTACACGTGTAACCTCCTGTTCCTCTGACCACCTCAGTAGTCCCGTCTGCACTRTCTTGAAAGGAAAAGCAAGAGAGTTGCACTTCAACTGGCCCAGTAAAACAGCGACACAGAAAGCTGTCMTTGTGTTCCTCATGGTTTTTCTACCAGAAAAAAAACACTCACCCTCTAAAAATGATTGTTGATCAGTAGGACGCTGAAGATACTCCTTCAGATTTTTTAATATATTTTGTTGCCGCAGGAAGTATAGGATTTTCTTTGCATAGTACTTCCAGGTGAGACCTTTCCTGCATATTTAAGTACAAAAAGTATTGCCACAAATGAGCACTTTAAGGGTGAATATTTGGTTTAACTTTTCYAGTTAATACAAGTGTATAATTTAGACTACTGTTTTTCTAAATAAGACTGACTACTATGTTAAGAGCTAACACATTGTTAAAATAAACATACCCTAARATATCTACAAAATACTGCTCCTGCCATCTCCAGTTTTCATCCTCTCACTAATACAACTCCTTGAGAAGAAACAGTCTCATGGGAGATAGCACAGATCCCGGTTGAACTAGCTCAGGAGGATCTGATTAAAATGCCATATTTTATTCATAAAACATTATCTTCTGTCTGACTCTGGATCACTTCTGAATACAGTTTGAAAATATTCTCTCACAGTTAAATCAATGAGGGGCATGAACATAGATCCAATGCYATTCAAAACAAGAGAAAAAATCCCCAGATCAGAAATCCTGCTCTTCTGAAAAGCCATTAAAAGATCAACAGTTGCTTGCAGATCATGCAGTCCAAAACCCAAGAGCTGATAATTAACAGGCAATGGCAGAGAGGCCAAGAAGCAGGTGTAGAGCTGCTCGCCACCCAGGCAACGTTTCACGAGATCACCTGAAATATGACAGACCAACCCAGAGCACTTCAATCTGGACAATTCCTGGCGCTTAGTAATGAGTTATCCCATGCCTCACAGAACACTTTTGCACCAGATAGTTGGAAAGGCACAAAAATGGGAGAATTACACAGGTTCCTAGGCACCACTATTGCCATGTCTTTAAAAGAAGTCCAATTTACTTCTTCAGAGACATCCCTCTTTCCCTGCCTGCCTTTCATCTGCTCCAGACTGCAGGTCAGATCAGTCTTCTCCATCCTGCTAGACAGGAAAACAATCAAATCTCATAACACTTTATGCTCTTCCAATAAACTGGGATGCTCAATTGGGACAACTGCTTTATTCGGATACCTTCCAGGGAAATGATTTAGCCTAATGCTCCTGAATGGCAATGACTACAGCCTAATCAGGGTGTAATTAGCATCAATTCTGCTTTATGGGGAGGCATTTGGCTAGTGCAAAGGCTCAAAAGCTTTTTAACCAGTTGTCAAACGAGAGATGTTTAATCCCAGTTTAAATAGAGAATTCACAAAATGGATGTGAAAAACACAAAAATGAGATGATTGTCATTCCAGTTGATGTCTTTTCAGGCTCTACTAACAGCCCCTTTAATCAAGGCTATTACACTCTATTAAGAGCAATCTATTGCTGCTTCATATCACAGTGAAAGCAGCCTGGTTTGCATGCTACCAACAGGAAAAARTAAGCCTTCAAATGAACCCATGACTTACATTGCTCATGGTTAACTATGGTAAAAAAACAAGGCAGAGGAGAACCAGAAATTTTATTTACCTGCTTGGCATTACATCCGAGTAATTTATGGCAGTGCAAATTTTGCAGTGGCTCAACTAAACTCGCTTGTTTATTTTGTGATAAAAATTGTACCAACTTATTTCAGCTAAGAAAAGCAAGAGGAGAAGAAAAACTAAACGGGCTGGGATACAGGGATTTGTGACAGCAATTCTGACTGAAGGATTCCTGCTCTCTCTCTCCTGTGCTGCAGCCAGTCACCTCTTCAGTTACGCCAATACGACTGTTTCTGGGAACATGCTGTAAATCAGTTCCACTAACTGATGTGAGTAAAACRTAACAAAMCAAACAAACAAAAAGGCAATCAACAAATCCCTCATCCCAGGAGTTCCTTAGGACACTGCAGAGAAGAGGGCACATGGAACATGTGCTGAGAGACGAGAAAGGAGCAAGGAAACAAGAAAGCAGAAGATGGCAACGTAAAGCTAGAGAATCGTCTTCTTGTAGACAATTTCACATGGTTTCATCTGGGAATTCTGAGTCTGTTCTGAAACCAAACACAAAGCAAAACCTCTGAGCCACAGGAAGCTTGGGTATATTGTTTGTAAGAATGACAAAAAAAATCTTAGAAGTTGAAGCCACGTATGCACCACAGCAGATTTTTCCTTCAACTTGACAGAGGAAGGAAATCCCTTCTACTATAAAATCTCACTTTTTCTTACCGTCCTTCCATGTTGAGGATACACATCAGCTCATCCTCAAAGAAATGACTTGGACACCCAAGAGACTCAATGTCACTGAATCCATCACAGGGGACCTGCCAAATCACACACGGAGTTACATGTAGCAAAAAAAGGTTCTTCTTTAAATAACAATTTTATTAAAATTATCAAAATCMATTTTCTATGACATTTAAATACATATACATAAAATAATATATATTAATAATAATAATATATAATAATAATAATATATATATATTTTATATATGTGTGTGTGTGTGTATATATATATATATATTTTTATATATATATATATATATATATATATATATATATAAAAAGAATGATCTTCAGAATATCCAGTTCAACATGGGCTCTAACCCGTGAATTTATCTCAAGGATTCTTTGAGAGACCCAGCAGCAGCCTCCAACAACATGAGGGAGCTGCCACAGCAGTCAGTGCTCCCACAGAGGTGCTTGGGTCGGCTCAGGAGTGCTGGCTCCTGCACAGGCTGCACTGAACCTGAACGCAATTTTAAGGTAGAATCAACTTTTGCCTGCAGGCAACTGAACCTCTAGAACCCTCCCTGGTTTTGCAGCTTGCTACTGGAGGGAGTCCCTAATTGACCCACATTGTACAGCTACCTAAAAGCACAACTTGGCAAACAGAAGTAACAGTTGTCTTAGAGACAAAATAAGAGGTGAAATTTTCACCTTTTTTACACTGAATGCAAAAATATCTTGGTGTCGTGCTTAGGTAAAGAATTTAAACAACACAGTTTCCTCTTCAGTGCAATTATTGTGCCTTGCTTCTATTTTGACAAGTCACAGCAGAGCAAGCCCTTGCACAAAGTCCACAGTAAGATAAACTGATGGGCTGCGGATGCAAAAACAAATTTCAGAGCTTGCTGGGTTCTTAGTGCCAGGTCTGAACATGAGGCAATGGGCAAAGGGCTTCACATACACCCGAGATTGCCAATAACAGCTGAACGCTACATGCAGAGCGTGGTTTGGGCTCTGCATAGCTTCCACCTTGGAGTTTGGACTTTCCTTCATTGTGGCTGACAGYCTAGCATTCTCACTAAGGACTTTCTGATGGAATAGCTGAAAACATGGGGAGGGGAGGGGAAAAAAAAAAAAAACAGACCCACTATAAAAAGTGCTTAACACAAATAGCTACAGTATCACAAACATATAAAGAAAATTCTTACGTGTTCAGAAAAGAACCTTTTGGAGAACGAAGCTACAATTCTCTGGGCTTCTAATCCAGCGTTGTGCCGCGCTTTGTATTCTTCAAGCCAGCTAACACCRTCTGTTTGGGTATAGTACTTCAGTAAGGATGGCCACCTGTACGGCGAAGTACAAAGGAACAGGGTCATTAGTTAACGCTTCAACACCAYGGAGAACATCCAGAATTGCAAAACATTCCCTATGGATTTTTAACATGGTTAAAAAAACATGTGACTTGAGTAGCTAAGACAGTGTACACTTTGTAATGCAGTTTAATAAACTAATCCAAAGACGGACTCAAACATCAAAGCTTAAATCTAACTTGATCTCATCTGAATATTTCTGGGTATTTAAAAAAATAATCTCTTGTGCTGCTTGTCAACAGCAAACAYTAACAGGAAACCTCTGAAAGATTCATTTTCCAGGCCTTTCAAAGAATAAATATCCTATGCACTTTGGGGATTTCCTCTGAAGCTTCATAAAAATAAACACAGACATCATGTCTATAAAAAAGATGCAGTTTCATAAGAGTAACAATTAAAATAAAATAAAATAAAATAAAATAAAATAAAATAAAATAAAATGGATTGCCAAAAGATGGATTGCCTTTAAGCTAACTTGTCATCTACCAGAGTGAGAATTCATTGTCCTAAGCTCTTCCTACTACATTACGGGTCTAATTAAAAGGCTGCACAAAATAGATCTCCCTCTAATGTGCCTGCTGGTGGCAACATCTACTGCACAAAAACAGAATTCTGAAATCGAATCATGGCAGCTAGTGTTTCTGCAGCTCATTTGTAGTGTATGATACCAGAAAAGCCTCTCTCAAACAAGAAAGCTGTGCTTGCTGCTCGGAGCCTGGAAGTCCAACTGCTGGAGCGGATTTTACAGCTTAATTCAGTAGCGCTTCAAGGCGGGGGAACTGGAAACCTGTTTTCAGAAGGGCTTGGGTGCTATCAGTAGCAGCACCCTTCCTAATAACGCGGCATCGCCATTGCAGGTGTTCCTGCAAGAAACACACTACRTAACAGCTAATGATAATAGCCAAGATAATGACGAGGAGGCATCGGGCCGCATCCATGCGCGCACGGGAGATGTTCCCTGAACGGTGGCGGACGCAAACGCCCCGCACTCGCGGTTACATAACGATGCCAGGAACCAAGCGCACACGCCGCGCTGCGCAGCGGGGCCTCCCCGGGGCCGGGAGACGCGGCCGCCCTGCAGCCACAGCCACAAACCCGGATTTCAGGGCAGGAACCACCTCCCGGCTCAACCGCCCCGGGAACGCCCGGAGAGGACAGGCCGCTGCTGAGCCTGGAGCCCGGGCAGCGCTGCCCGGTCACTGCCCGGGCTGCCGCCGCCGCGCCAGGACGGCGCCGTGTCCCCGCCGG